GAAGATGTTTACATTGCAACCGAATGATACGAAAGTTCCAGAGGTGAGCCAGTCCTCCTATTTCAACAGCCGCTTCTAACACAGCTCAGCATTTGAGAAAGATTTGTCATGAAGGAAAACCAGTGGCGGTGCGGGAAAAGTTGTTCAAGATCCTGACCAAAGCACACAAGCAATGCCAACACGGTGGCAGAGACAAGACATCTGCTCAGGTCAGGAAAGTGTATTCATGGTTCTACTCACCAGCTCCACCCATTATTGGAAAGAGACTGATCAATATGGCATAGGGTGCCTAAAGAACTCATCTCAAGATTCGTCAAACTATGTCCCACATGTCAAGTCAGACGAGGGACCAGTCGTAACTCGCCTCCAGAGTCGGTGAAAAGTCCCGAGACGAACACGGAAGCATTCTCGCCGGAGGCACTCTCAGCAGCCGGTCCAAGGAAGTGTTCTACAGCGAGTCGGCAGACCATCGTGAACGCGGGCTTGCCTTTGCAAACGGCGGGCTTCAAAACGAGCTCAACATTTCAACTACAGAACCGCTGGATGACGCCGTTGCAACCTCATTCAGAGGCCAGTCACGTCTCTCCGGCGATGACACATTCCTCTCTTAATCGCCACGACTCCTACAACACGGCTCCACCTATGTCGTTGACCTGTAACAATGCCGCCTCACCGGGTCTGACCTTCTCGGCTGTCAGTAATTTCGGAAATGCTTCTGGAAATCCACCTGCATATACTTCATCCCCATTGCCTCAACCTATGCATGCCAATGTACCAACAGAAACAGCATATGAAATCAAGGTTGAACATTACATTTGACCGCTCGGCTGCGCAGCGCACTAATAACCTGACCGGGAAGCCAGCATATTCACCTGTGTTCTTTACAGTATACAAGGATTCATGCAGAGCATATGGCGTGTGGCTTTGCGCAACGATACGACAACACAGAACGTCTCGCGAATGTCTTCCTCCCAAAAATTCACTTGGACTCAATATTACTCTTTTGGCTGCCACAGGGCTTGAGGCGCCCATTTTCTTAGGCCCGATTTGCGCAAAATTACTGGTTGATTTTACGTTTCCATTTTCATCAGACCAGCCTGGGTCGGCAGGAATGACGGTTACAGAAAAGTATTGCATTTATATAACGATGAACGAGAAGCACTTCAAGCCTTGCGGGACGATCGGGATATCTATTGTCCAAAAACACTTCAGATGCTGACATTTTCGGGCTCTCATTCCTTTACCCCTTTACTACAGCAGCCCATGAAGCGCAGACGCGATGCTCGGGGAAGAGAATGGTACCCAATAGATGAGGAGAGAATTAGATGGAAAAGAGAAGGTGGCTTCTACAGTCTCCAGGCGCACGATCATCTTTGTTGGACTGGGCCGGAGCTCTGTCGACAGCGATATTTATACACTGGGTATAACGTAGTTCATTCGACCGAGGCTTAAAGCCAAACTGGTGCTCTGCACCATGAATCAATTTGATATAAATCGAGCCTCTATAAGCCGGTCGTGATTTCTCAAATAGGCAATTTCTGTCGCGAATATTGGAAGCGAAAACAAACGCTCCGCTCACTCCCGTCTACGGAGCATCGAAATTCATCTGTCGATCCACTTGGGTACCTCAACCAAACACACAAGTCAGCTGACGACCACTGCTATTTGAAGCTACTATGTAGGAATATTAGGGTCTCTTGGTGAGGCACATCCACTATTACGATCTCACAGATCACAGCGTGATTACGCTCGGTCCTCGTCTTCAAAGATCATAAACCAGGCACTAAGGAGTGATGCAAACTTGGTTGTATTAGCGATGGTCTCCGGTCTGGACGAACCATCCGCCAGATGGCGAACCACTTCTTCTCAGCCTTGTCGCCCGAAGTTTACTCTCAACTGGGTCCTCGTGCCAGTGGAAGCATTATTCGTCCAAAGTTTAATTCTAGACCAGGTCTTCGTGCCAGTGGAAGCACTATATAACAGGAGTGGCCCCGAAGAGATTTGCTTCTCTCTAATCACCCTATCACAGAATGACAAGTTCCGGCATAATCTTCCCTTCAAATCTGTCCGTCAGGTAACAAGACATCATGGGCAACGCATATTCTTGGATCAGAGCAATTGCCTGGGCCAGGGAGCATTGGTATCATACTGCTGTCACCGGTAGCGTTTTGGGTCTCACCGGCTCGTTTTCGGCCGCGATGGCATGCGGCGTCTTCCGCGCATGTGACGACGACCCTTGCGGAGTGCCCAACAAGAAAAGTCCTTTCGGTAAACCGGCTTGTGACATGTGGGAGCATGGCGGAGAAGATATGTTGCCTCTACGAAAGAGGGGCGGAGGAGGTACGACGGTCACAGTGATAAATGGCATGAAGAGCTGGGGCTTTGACTACGACTACGGCGAAGTTCCCGGAGTCAGCATCTACAACAGTAACAACGTCGATGAAGAAGTATTAAAATTGTTCGGCGAGGGCGAGGATGAGCTTACCATCGCAATTCCTGGTTCCAGTCTGCCAGACTGGATCTATATCACCAACGCCGGCAAGACGCCCATGTGCATAGCAGGCGTACAGCTGACGGCGCCCGATGGATCCGAGATCACCATGACTGGCAACCTGGGGAGAATCTGTGGTGCAGATTACTATGAATCAGCAGTGACGGTCATTCCTAATGCTGAAGCGAAAGCTGCGTCCTGTGTCTGGATCGACCGGCACAAATCGAACGGTCTTCGCCTACCAGGCATTAGCTTCAACCTGCAACCCGACGAGCAGGATCTGCAATCCTACAATATTACATCGGTGGAAGACTTGTGTCGATCTCCATTCATCATGTTACAGGAAGCCCAACCTGCTCTATCAGGGCGGCAACTGATAATACCAACGCTCAACGTCACTTACAGCGATGTCATGGGTGAGTTTGAGCGCTACTTTGATTTGGCGCTTGTCAAGAGCAACTTGGACCTTTCAAGTGCTGTACGCATGTGCGAGGCAGAGGACGCCAAAGGACCGCATTTCGTGAGTCTTGCTGAGGGAGTTTACTGTGACACGACAACGAGAAGGCTTTATCGTGTCTGCGACCGCCGTCATCGCCAGGGGATCTGCTTTGACACGGACCGGGACGAACTCGTGCAAATAGAAGGCGATGGTTCTCCTGTTCGGTTCGAGAATTTTGTACGCGATCTAAGCAGCCAGACGCCGTGGCGAGTCAAAGTGCTGAAGACGTTCCGGCATGTTGACGTCTGGGGTTAATACTGAGTACATACCTATATTACTCGAGAACACAAAACCTTATTGCTATATACTGTTTGACTCCAGGGGGTGGGTGAAGCTGCCTTAACCTGAGGTCTAACTGAACCTTTTGCTTAACATCACGGAGCGCTCCTGGAGCACTTCCCGAACAAGACACCGGAGGCTAAATCAGGCTTTCTAGAAATCGAATGTACCTGCCTCTCGGCCTGGCATCTATTTCAAACGGGAGCGTGATGGATTCCCTGCCCTTGCGTTACTGCTTAGATTTCCCTGTAGCACCCCTCGGGTGCTTCTTGTAACAGTAATTGTGCCGGTGTTTACGTTGTGGTGCAGTGCGTCTCGACGACGGCTGCCCTTGAGGGACACATCGCGACTTTCTTTAAACATGACTGAACACAGGGAATAGTTGGTGTTGTACACAGAACAGTACTGTTTCTGTCTGCTTAATTGTGTACTGTCCCCCTGGCTATTCAGAGAGACTCTGCCTGTTTATATATACATTGGCCTATAACCATAAGAGCATTCCTGAAACCTCCTATTCCGCCGCCATCCTATCACAGGTCTGTGGGAACAACGAGATTAAGGCAGTTTGCGCAGTTAATGAAGCGCCTAGCGTCTCCGGCGGTTTGCCCCAGTGGTGCTCTCGCGACCCTGTCAACATGTACCTATAAATGTGATGTCTATGGTCATATTGTATATATTTACCAATATCTTTCCAAACTATTTTTGGACTTTAGGATGACTTGCTTAGTAACAAGGCCACTAAGGCTGTGTGTAATAATGACTAGCGGTCTATCTGACGCATTCTTCTTCTCCCGATCTGCCGTCACTATCTGCAAGAAGTTCGTAGCATGGTGCGTCAGCTGATTCGACAAAGCGTGTCCCCAGCGGATGCGAAGTTCCTCGTAGTTCCGTGATATTTGGAGGAGGAATTATTTGGTAGCTGTAAGAGCTGTTGTATCTTATACCTTGCAAATGCGCGTTTGACAGAGCCTGCGTAATGCGCAACGGCTATACAAGCCAGCCTTACTCAACTTCGCACATTCTAGACCGTATGGGGCCGAATACACCTCGGGCCCCCACCAGGGCCATATCGAGCACTTTGGTAGAGGACTTTTGGTGCTGCAAAATCGTATATGGCTATTGTCAGGCGCCCACGGCCTGTGCAATGCACCGGATGGACAATCAGACACCCTTCTCTCTCGCGCGCAACAGGACCAACAACGGCCCTGCAGAAAATCAGCATCTCAGGCTCGGCCTGTTGGCATGAACTATATAACAAGAGCTCAGCTGCATAAAGATTTTAGTGGTAGTGGTGTTTGTTGCCGCAGGCGGCAACAATATTGTATCGACATGTCGACACATCGACACCTCAGAGAAGGCACTGTGCCACAGTCTCCGTCTGACACATTCTCATCCCAAGTAACAGTTCCTCGCTCATGGATGGAATGTGAGAAAATTCAGCTAGTGACTAGGAATCTAAATGTGTCATCACCATTCGCACAAGTCCCAGGCAGGTACTGAACTCGGTGATCGACTGTTGGATGTCGCAATGACTGTCCTGGTCAAGAGATCTATCCAGTATCAAAGCTTTTCAATTCACGAGAAATCCCTACTATGTTACCCCCATCGAGAGACGGTGTTGACTTTGATTTTATCAGCTATTGCGCTCTGAGGAAATTGATCGATATGTCCCATCTGTGTATTTAAGATCTACCTTGGTCAACGATTCTCTCGGCTGCTTACCAAGGATCATTATCCCTTTTTCTCTTCTTCCTCTGCATCAATCTGCACTAAGGCACGGAGGATGCCCAACTCTTCTATCTTCTTGGTCTCGATGATGAAATTTGCAATAAATACAGCTTCTTCATCCCCAGCGTTCTCATTCCTAACATGATGGCATCCCGGCGGTTCATACCAACAGTCGCCTTCGGAGTGTATTTGAGGTCCATCACTCTTTCCGTCACATACCATTTGATTCAACATTCGGCCCCGGATCATAGTGGCAACCACGGCCGCTCCTCCGTGCTTATGGGGGGGAGTTGCGGAACCAACAGGAGCGGTAACTCTTAGCCCAATATATGTCATCCCAGGAATGTTGGAAGGCTGATGTTGATAGATGGGTTCGACCTTATTAACAGGGCGGCTAGTATTTAATTAGTAAAGCCCTCCTATAATCTTTCGGACCTCACCCATTAATCGTCCACTTCCCGTCCACCTTAATCACCTTCTGGTCTTGCCATCGCATGTTCATATCGAGAACGGGTGCCATGTTGAGGATCCGGTTCAATAGCTACTATAGCTGCTAAGCTAAAAAGAAATCCAAAGAGGTGTCTTGCCTTTATATCATCATAACTATAGGCTGTCTTTCTTCAGCTGAGGTAATTCCTTTAGCTTGGCAATGGTGAACTCCGTGGTCTAATAAGGAAGGTAGGATCCCAATACCGCAACAACATGCTATGTTTATGTGATTGGCTAGCTCCTCGATGTAGTTAGGCACCTAGGACGAGACCTCCACATGTGTGGAAGGCGGCTAATCCTATTGGTCAGTGACTGAATTGTATCCGGTTCTTCAAAGCAGGAAAGCATCCGTAAACGGAAACGCCCTTCCTTGTCACGGAAAGGCGCGGCCAAGACAGCCTAGGCAACCTGTACATATTCATTCGTTCCCTTTCGTAACTGGAGCACCAATCAACCATCTCACGCTTCCGTCTACGACTTCTGCCTGCTCGGCAGACGTATGGCCGAAAGGAACTCCGCGGAATTCGGTGCTCCATCTTTGATGCGTTCTGAGCAATCCTCTAGTTTACGACGTTGTACACCGCCGTCTCAATCCTTAGTCCCTCGATCTCTCGATTGTCCCTATGATGGGCTTGTCGTACTTTACGTCAGCCCCGCAGCCGCATCAGTGCTTTGTAATGCCGCGACCCATTACCACATCACAGACAAGTCAGCTGGGTGTGTTCAGGACTTCTCCCTCTACTGTGGGCTTTCTAAGGCTGAATGTAGTTTCAAAGCTGACCCTTGTATAGGACCAGTATGATGCCACCCTCGCCGCATTTCAGCAAAGTTTTCACTATGACCCGAAACTTTCCTCACTCAACCACACCAGAACCCGACCAAGTCTCCACCAGTCCAAAGCCGACAAAATTCGATGATATCAATTCCAGACATGGGAATGAATGGTCGTACTGCACTAACGGCGGACCTAACACATGACGCGCCCGCAGTGGGGAGGAGCAGGAGCAAGGACAAGGATACCCTGACACCGCAGCAAAGTCGGAGGAAGACACAAAACAGAGCAGCGTCAGAACATTATTTGATACTGCATAGAATCATGACATACTAATAGTTGTCTCCGCCAGCACGCATTCCGAGAATGAAAGGAGATGGATGTTAAAGATCTCGAGGCCAACCTCGCCAGGCTTCAACATCAATTTGTGACTTTGAACGGCGAAAATGAGCGATTATGGCGGGAACTCGCGAAAATCGCTACAGAGAACGAAATACTCCTGGCACTATGTGGTGCGGCTTCTAATGGTCCGACGCCGTCTATAGAAAATATACACTGATCAACACCGAACCGCCCACTGCAGACCACATAATCTCGACAACAGAGACCATGGAGTGGATATCCATTTCGGCTGTCCAACCGAACCAGAATATACCTGTGCGGGTACCAGCATACTGGCAAACAGCTCTGGAACAAGCCGATGTTCCTGTGCGTGGAGACTGTGCTTCTTGATACCAGGTTTGAGACAAAACCAGACTTAGCTACAGTAGATGGGAATACCGACCAGACAGCCGACCAATATGACGACAAAGGCTGGACCGAACTCGCCAAGGTTGAAATGGCAATGTCAATGCAGACTAGTGGAAAGGCATCGAAGTAGTTGTAATAGCTACTCTAAATCAACGAGGTGTATATGTTGGTAAAGAGCACGGCAGGACCTTTCGGACAGATCCCGATCGATTTGACGATGGCTTCGGTGGCGACTTTGGAGAAGGAGAGGCCGACTTGATCGATCTCGGATATTGCGCGCAGAGATTCACTGCCACTGAGTTGACGCAGACGCTGGCCGCGTGGAGCAGGATGGTGAATGCGGAGGTTTGGAGACGGAGGAAGAACATGGGTGTAAAAAAAGGGCGGCACCCCAAAGACTTCCCAGAAGGCCCAACCCCCGCTAAATGGTGGCTAGTACAGATTCGTTAGAGGAGAGGGAACGGAACAACTCTTCAGCCGTGATCGTAAAGCCGGATAATAGTGGACCTAGGGCAGGCGCGATAGAAGTCACTGCTGCTCAAGCAGTCGAGCCGTACGGAAGTTTGAGTGAGCCATAGATATCTTCCATCGAAGCCCCTCCAGTTGTCAAGCACCGTCTTCTAATAAACCCGATCAGAAATCTGAGAACTAAGGAGGCGTAGTTCTCAACTAGTGTCGTAGGGATCCACGGGATGACGAAGAGGGTGAAGGATATTCGGAATCTCAAAAGCGGTGAGGAAAGCTAGATAACCAGTGTTAGAAATGCTGTTTGGGCTAGGATTGAGTGTAGGAATGTTTCTGGTTTATGATAGGGCCTGATACCTGTTCAATCATATACATGCTAAGGCCGAAGCCGGCTTTGCTCTAACCGATATTCCATTTTGCCATTATCTGAGGCCATGTTAGCGTGTAGATTGAGGAAGAGGCGGAGACCATGAGTGTGTACATCCATATAACGAAGACAATCCAGGCCTTGTACCAGAGGTTCCATCTGTGTGGATTCACAGGATCCTAGCTCGGTTAGTAAGCATTCCTTGAGACGACAATGAATGAGGACTCCTAAATTAAGTAGTATACCAATCCACAAGAGTGATACCGTCAGACGTGCGCCGCGGAATGATGACGGCGCTCTGAGCTCGTTCGACGGCTTCCTGCCGCTCAACCTCAAATCACTGAGCTGTATACTGCCTCGACTGTTCTGTTTTTGTGCCGGTGGTCATAGGACCAAGCGATCTTGCCGCGGATCCCTGAGTGGAATCGTGCTCAAGCCGGCTTCACAAGTTGATCAGGGCGCCGAAGCAGAAGTATGGACCTTCTTAACATCGTCGACCACCCTATGACAGATGAGCTAACATCACCGCTCGTGTGACTGCTCGGCCAGGGAGTTGGGATTGAATCGGATGAGGTTTGAGATTGATGTGGACGCCTGTGATCCTAAGCAAGAATACTCCCTATGCGTAGCACAAGGATTTTGTGTCTGACCAAATTGTACTCGAAGAAAGAATTCCATGAATGGTGGTACAGTGAAATACAGATTGTACGTTGATGAAATGAGTCATTGGAAGTTTAGGAGGACGTTCGCTTTCACCAGAACCATGGTTCGACAGGTGACTGAGGGACGACCATGTCCAAAGACTTGTTATTCGAGTTGAGATTAGGGAGAAATGATGCTTGTCTTTGATTTAACCTATTTGTGCTCACATATCTCTAGATGAAAGGAGGAGAAATTTGACTATCACTGCGGCCTTGCTCTTCTGGTTTCAGTCCTAGCCTACATGACTCGGATCTGAAAGCTGTGCAAGTCACGAATCATGCTTGTCTGTATTCTTCATTGCATCAACCTTGTCGCGCATCGATTTGAAGAGTTGAGCCATCTCCTCAACGGTTCGGCTGCTCGCAGGAATATTTATGCCCTTCTGGACGGCTGAGCGTTCACCGATCCTTTTGATCCACTTCTCCAAACCAGGCCACTGGCGAACATCTATGTCCAGAAGCAGAAAGGCGGACCTCAACCAAGCATAACTCGCAATGTCAGCGATGGTGTACTTCTCACCCGCCAACCAGTCGTAGCTCTTTAACCGAGATTCGAGCACATCGATCAGTCGTCTGGTTTCATTGACATATCTGTTTATGCCGTAAGCCGAGTAAACCCCCGCCATAGCTCTGAAATGTTCCGCTTGTCCCTGTATGGTTGATTAGCTCAAATATTACCTTCGCATCGAACAACTCGCCAACACTGGGCCAAGGCCGCCCATCTGCCACATTAGCCACGACACCATTTCGTAGTACTCTCGGCTGCCGTGAGGATAGCTGATCTTGTGATCCTTGTCATAGTGATCGGTCAGATAGAGCATAATAGCACCGCTTTCGAATACTCTCATATCGCCATCCTTTAAGGCCGGAATACGTCCATTGGGATTGATAGCAAGGAACCAATCTTCTTTCTGGACATTTTTGGAGATATCAACGACTTCGATCGTGTACTGAAGGCCAAGCTCTTCCATCGTGATGGAAGACTTATGACCGTTGGGCGTTCCGAAGGTGTACAGAGTCAGGTTGTGATATGGTGGCGGGCCAGACATCTTGCCGTAATAAGGGGATTGTAGTCTGAGACAGAAAGCCGATTTGGTAGAGAAGGAAGCTGAAAGTGATGCTCTATAAGCTTGTTGTATACGTTTTGGACGCGTGGACAGTCGCAAAGTAGAGCGACAAGCTGAGCGGGAAAGAAACATGGGTAGGAGTGAGGGGACCGTCCGAGGTTTATATACAAAAATGGACTTCCAAGGATGCAAAGAACTACCCCAGAGCCTTCGTACGGCAGTAGGTTCGGAAACCAATAGTGTTAGGTACATCAGGTAAATATTCTTAGATGGATATGCGAGTGCAAAAGGGGTGCGCCCCAGGCAGGTCACGAATTTCACAATCAAGCCGTTTGGTTGGCTGGCGAAACTCCACGTTCATGATTTCTTCCAGTGCAGCTTAGTAATTATATTTATAAGCACTTGGAAGGTTTCGGACCTCTTTGGTATGCGTGTCATTTGTTGATATGTTTTCGGAAATCTATCTCCAGGCCCAGAACAGAGCTTCAGCCCTAGTTCAAATCTTTCATCCAAGTTCTGGCGTCAATACTGGCTTCCTCTGAAATGGTTTTCCAGCATTTGCCCTACTCTGACCACTGCTTATCTATAGCTTCATATGGTCCTCTAACAATGGCTTCTTCCCATGCGGCCGAACTTGACGTCTCCGGCGTCCACAACAGGGACGTCTTCCGGACCAACAATCGCACTGTATACATGTTCATAGAAATCGGGGGCCATCCTTTTAATCCAGCCCACCGTAGGCTCGAGAAAGACCTGCAGCATGCCCCTTCGCCCTCGAGGGGTGACAGTTCTTTTGCTCCATCCTTGGCTCCTGAAGAAAGATGTGCATCCTGGGGGTCATATTACTGCCTCACACAGCGTTGACGGCATGTAAGTCTTCGTCAAGACCTTGCTCATAACCACCAAATTCAGTATCGACCGCAATGAGATGTTCTTCACAGGGCGTTTCACCGGGATAGGAAAGACTACCGAAAGAGGTAGTGAAAGACCCACTTGGTGCTCGCTGCAGTCGGGGCTAAATGCTACTGTACAGGGTACCTCTGTTTAAAGCAATGTAATGGTCCGAGCCTTGGCCTGCCTAGCATCGGAAGCTCTCCCCAATTCCTTGTCGCTTACCCTGGGCGGGGGTGGCGGAGCCTAACCGAGAACAAACTCATTAGTAACAAGCACTCTCTATTACTCCCATACCCGCAGTTCGAGCCGAGTCCACTAAAGTAATCTTACCGTATATAGTATAACGCCGCGCCATGGGACATCTAGCCGATCGGGTAGCTCCGTTTGTCTGTGTCCTCCCGAGTTGAATACGGGAGCTCGTTGGACATCGTCGTCGGTAGTAATCTTAGCGTATCGATTTAGTACGCAGTCTATCTTAGCTGGAACGGACTTTTTCCTATCAAGATCTGGTCAGCTGAAAGTGAGGATGAAAAGACGCAAGATGTTTTACAGCTGACTGATGGAAACGTGACTCGTCGTCAGGAGGTTAATGAGACTAGGGAAAGACCAGCCTCCCGGCTTACTAAAAGACAGGGGCGAACCGGGGGGTTGCTTGGCATCCTCGCCGTTGCCAAGGATTACGGAATCATTTTCAGGGGGCTAGAACCAAGCCTATCGAATCAGCTTTCCTGGCTGTTGGTAATAGTGAGGAACGCAGACTAGTTTCGAGTTAAACGGCGCATGAGTTCTACTACAGCCATATTTGATGATCCACTAGTCGGATGAATTCTGATACTGCATTCTCGGGGAGGGAGTCGCTGTCGTTGGCCCTGAATTTGTTCGATGCTGGCGGGCCCCTTCGGAGAAGTCTAATCCAGGAGTATGCGATGCTCACGGAGCCGCCGGTTAAGGGCGGACGACGGCCCCGCTGTATCAAACCCGAGTTTTGAAATCGCCTCAAGTTGCGCAGCTGGTCTTTTGACTCGTTCAAACGACTTTTGACAGGGCGGCACGGCTTCTCGGTCGCGTAAGATCTGTTTAACCCCCACCGTAACATCAGCATCCCAAGTACTAGACTTCTTCCTCCCTGTCATAGATTGCGATCACTTCGATTTCCGTTTATCCACTTGCAGATGTTCGAGAAATAAATTTCGACAGTGGAAAACCAAGCGCTGAGGACGTTGGCCGAATGGGATAGGTGTCAGATGACCTGCGGGAGATCAACAAGCTGTGGAAGACGCCGAGGGGATCCCGAATTGGGTGATGGTACCCAACTTCCCGGATGTGTTTCTTGACTAGTCTCTGGCAACTGTGTTTGACCTGTATCGCAAGAAGCAAGTCGAGTCCCACCAACGTCTTCTTTTGTCCTAATTCTCCAAGTCTCGGACTTCGTGGCTGTATGGAATACAAACTATACCGCCATTTAACATGGACCGATACCATTTCGTGGATGCTTTACCCAAAGGAGCATCACAGCGCACGAAAAGCTTGCAAAAGTCCAAAATTCGGTCCCACGCCGCTGCGTCAGCACAACGGAAGATGAGGCATGAGAAAAACGTTCCGAACTTTGCGCGAAAAGCTCAGACGTCCCCAAGGCAATCTCCTAGCACTTGGACTGCTGTCTCCAGCTCAGGTCTCTTGCCTCGACATTTCTGTCCTCATGTGACTACCGAGCCCAGTCAAGATCCATCCTGGCTACGGTACGTTGATGAGTCCCAGGAAAGCGAATCGTCCGAAATCAATAATGCACAGGAGGCATTGCAGAGAGAGCTATATCAGTCCAACCATTCAAAAAGGGAGCCAGATGTGAGCAAGGAGTTAGATCCGCTTATGTCCATACCATTCGGCATCGGTCCTGAAGATAAGCATCTTTTACATTTCTGTTAGTTTGTTAAAGACGTGGCTTGCTCGTCATGCTAATATGTCTACAGACCTTTCAACAGTATCGGGCGAGCTATATGGACAATGCCCGAATCCGGCCTTTAGCACCAGCCGAGATCTTGTCCTAGCCAATTGCCATGTATCTTCATACACATTACAATGGACGCTTATAACGGCCAATACGTTTTACCTGCGCTACAGCAATCCGCGCGCTCTTTCATCGCTACTTTGGCGGCGACACAAAGCCTACCGGGCCATAAATCAATGTCTCAGTGATAATAACAAAGATTTACCCGATGAACTAGTGTCGGGTATTATAATGGCAATTTCCACGGAGTCCCGTGTAGCTAGCTTGGAAACAGCCGCGCTACATCTACGAGGATATGAGAAGATTGTCAGTTTGAAAGGGGGACTACAACACATGCTACTGAACATTTCACATCCTTCAATGCTGGCCGGCCACTTAGTGCCATATTTAGTATGTGAGCCAGACAGAGTTGGGTCAGAGATATCGGCAATATCCTTGCAAGATATTATGGGAATCCACGGATTTGATCTCGCAAGCCCTGAACTAATGGTACTTATGCAAGACAGAGAGATCCGACTGCTTCTTTCATCAAATTGGCTAAGACCTTACTTCCGGCCACGAATCTGGGCATCCATGAAATACGAAGAGAAAACAAGCCACTTTCTGTCTCACTATTTCATCCTCAAGTTACTTTGGAGATTGCGAGAAAATACCCTGTTTGCACGCTTCGGCATTGCACGGTTACACTATATCGTGGCTAAAAGTGCCACGGTAGATTATGCTGGGAAGGTGTCATTGACTCTCCGGGGCTTTATGTGGATTGTTGTTAAAGCTATATTTGACGTGCTTGGGATACTTAAGCCAAAGGATGCCTTGAAAGAAGCGCAAACTCAAGAAATTGTATCGGGAGTCAATGCCTTGAAGCGATTCGGAGCTCTCAATGATAAAATGAGGCAGCAGATCGCTTCGCTTCTTAGTCATTTTCTTTTTGTCGGGTAACACCATGAGGCGATGGGAGCCAGTGCACTTGGTAGGACAAAAGATACCCAGAAGGTCTATGGATGGAAGTGTCTGGTAGCGACATTCAGAAAACTATGCCTGACCCTTTCACCTTCTGTTCATCCCTTTGGCCTTTGCATTTTAAGCAAGCGGGCCGTCTTCTGCGCTACACTTCCTGCTTGAACAACGGATTGGGACTTACCGCTCCTGAATCACGCCTCCGCTTCACCACAAAACAATATTTTCAATAGTCAGGCTGCTGGGACAGTGGGAAACCCCTCGAGAAGCTCTTCTTGCGGTTCGCAGAATTGGGTGCGCAAGCATCGAGTGGGAAATGCCCTCACTACCTAAACCGCCCGGCGTATGGCCTCTGCAGCCGTGAAGGAAGGCCAGTCCTCCAAAGCCCCATCGGCGAGGAAGAACAGATCCAATGCCAGGATTTCACACGCCTGCGAGGCGTGTCCAGTTGACGTCGCAGTTAAGCGAATTAAGAAGACACTTAAAACGACCAAAGATCATGGGAGTCCTTGATTTTGTGGTGAATGTATGAGGTGACACCCGGTGATATGGATGAAGTTGTTCAGAGAAGAACGAAATACTTGGAGGCTGGAGTTACCACTGTATTGTCTGGGGTGGCAGTCAAAGAGGTGTCAGCTGAACGGAGGTTGAGATAGTGGTCAAAGAGTTTGACGGTCGCTTGAACGTGTCACTGAAATGGAGCCGGTGGCTTTCCGTCCAAAAATTGACCTAAATCGAGTCGCCCACATCAGCGTCGGGCCCGCCATCCAGTTTTTGGTATGGAGGAGTATGCCAAAAAGGCAAATAAAGATATTTGGTTCCTCCACAGTTTTGCAACTCCTTAGTTCCATTGCCACGAACAAGAAGCTGCTAATCACTTCGATATTCGCAAGATCCAATCCCTTCCTTTACAGTGAGGTAGCCGATCTCTTTGGTTAAATCGCTCGGTGCGCTAGGGAGTGCACCTTCTGAAGGAACGGGAATTGAAACCAATGCCTACAAACGGGATGGGCCCCCTTGTTCAGCGCTGCCTTCCTCGGTCCAGATTCGGACGATTTAGTCAAACGCTAAACTGAGGAAAAGTATGGCGCTGAAGTGATCACCACGATCTCAGAGGCCCTGCTTACGGAGATTTACACGGGCTTCTTCCAGATTTCACATTCGCTGAACTCTGTGGGTTTGGTCTGCTTTATCAACTGAAGTGACACAGTATGTTTGTAAGATACTTTCGAGCAGCGACCACCCAATTACGGGAATGGTACTAGCGATCTCAGCAACCGAGTCGAGGGATAGCGACAAACTTTTACCTTTTCAATATCTGATATCAAAACGATCGAATTGAAGGCATCGGGTACTCCTCAAAAAATAGTACCAAAGCGCTCCTGATATAGATATCCATATATTGTAAAGAGAGTGTTACTAGTGCCTATCTAGGCGCGTTCTTCCTGTTATGTTGCCGATGTAGTTGCCTATGCCGCCCTGGTGCCTAGACGACAGAGCAAACGACGACAATATTGCTGAAACAAAGACGGTGATGGCGTTGCCAACAAACAGCGTTTGCGACTCAAAAATATCTGCCATGAATACAACTGTGCTTCGATAGGCGATTTATCTTTCTCCAGATATAGTTCACCACCTGTTTCCATCGAGAGTTTCGCAGCGTTAGAGGATCTCCTCACTCCCAAAAAGTGACGTGTTCCTCCCATCGTCGTTTTGGCATTCTCACCTTCACGACATTGGCGTCTTCGTCGGGATAGCCGATACCCAACCCGCAGATGATTTGTAAGTCTTCGGAGAGGCCTATCTCTTCCTTGAAAACTTCAGGGTATCCTGCCATAGTCATCTGAGGAATCGATCCCAAGCCTTGCTCCCACAGCAAGAGAATGACGTTCTCCAAGTAGATACCCATAGATGCCACGTCGGCGGTCGCGAGTCCCTTGTCCATGCAAAAAAGAGCCATGCAGGGTGCCCCGTAGCTTCTGAAGTTGAGTTTAAGCACTTCGCGGCGACCCGTCTTGTCCTCGCGCGCAATCCCGAAACCTTCCCCATGGAGGACACTTCCTTGCTTTTCAACTCGGTCTCGAAATTTCGCAGGAGGGTCCGGTATTTGCATGGGCTTGCCACTTTGAACATTGTTGACGAGTTTCTCTTGAACCTTTGATAACTTCTCACCAGTGATAACCTTGACCTCCCATGGCTGTATGTTAAAGTTTGACGCTGAGTTTTGCGCAATCCTGAAGACCTCTTCCAAAGTTTCCCGTGGGACTGGTCGGTCGCGGATGAAAGAGTGGATACTGTGACGCTGGGAAACTGCCTGAGAGACGGATAGTGGACGGGAAGCTCTGAGATTCGACATTTTGCTGAGATGAAGTTGTTTTCAAGATGGTATCGGATTCCACAATGGATCGCGTCTTAATATACTAGTTCTTGACGGGAACGGCGATGACTTCGAATTCTTATTGCGAACATCGCCGTATGCGCCGGAATTCTAGCGTGGAGCCTGTCACCCTTCGCCTAAAACGCGCATTAGTCACACTGGGGACTGAGTTCTGGACTTGCTATTGTAAGTCGTTACGTTTCCTGACAAACGTAGCCCCGTCTGGTCGTGAGCCACCGATCTGTCAACAGAGCGCAGATCTTACCGAAACTGTCGATATCGTTTCGACGGAAAGGCTTCCTCTTAGGCTACTACGCCATGAGCGGGAAAGGACTGCAAAGGACCCTGGCTCAGTTCTGAACCTCCCCATCAGCGACGACATTGAAGCCTCACTTGTTGTTACCAGTCAAGATTATCCTCGGATATCACGGGTAAGGCTTTACTTATTGCTTTTATGGATAATTAAGCATGCTGATCAATTGTCAGCAGTGCCTAGATGTTGCGTGCCAGTGACTGAGTTTGTGCTTTTCATGTCAGTACCATCATCGCCGAAACCCTTTGCATATGTGTAGACGATCACCTGATTGGTAAAGGATCACTGTCGATGCATGATTCACCGCGGACAGGACGATTGTCACAGAGAGGAAGTTTCGCGCAAAATTCGTTACTCGACCGCTTTACTCACTTTTGATTGCCCCAACAACCTAAATCTTGGCTAAGGATTCCGAATTAGAGTGATATGTCATTCGGCGGTATGCCAAGCGACGACGATATGAAAAATACGTAAGTATCTAGAGCAATGTGGCAATTACACTTGGGAGCGGACGGAGCGCTTAGCAGCTCTGAACCCCAGCATTTCAGGTAAGCTAGTTTCGTTGTGGCTAGCATTTCTAAACCTTACGCACAATGACGTCGTCTCATTATTAAAGCCAACGCTTAAACCCGCTTCTATTTGACCAAAACTCGGCAGTGGGTATCACACAGACCCTTTTCATCAAAGGCCAAAGTACCTCACCGTATTGGGACCTTGATATGTCGAGTTGCAATGATGCCACAATAGGAGCCGAGAGTCACTCACCAGACGAATATCTTCCAAACAAAGTTTTCTATTCTTCTTAAATTCGTGTTGGAATTATACTGTCCTATCGATCACCAATGGAATAGCGATTGAAGATAGAATTTCACCTACGCTATTTCGATTAATTTAACGCGAACAAACTTAGTGTGACACCTCAAAATGCACAGGTAGTGATCCGAAGATGTTAGTCTCCACTCATCCGTCTTCTCCCTGCAGGAAGATGAGTGAAGAAGTTATCATGTACCTGATACGGCTAGTCAGAACTTCTCTATGACGAAATCCATCTCCCTAGTGACTTTACCAGCATGTTCGAAAGTCATGACACTACCCGCTTCAGACATGTAGCGCTCGGGATCAACAATCTCAGCGGGAACATGTGATGTCAAATTTTCGTTACTGGAATCGCAGTCAGAGGGTGAATGCTGCTTAAACATATTCCATGGCGTTCGAAACTGAAAAGAGTTCTAATTTAGTGGACCCCGATACGTACGCCCCAGTTTTGACCGTGTTCCCCTATTCAGCATTAATTTTTCCGTTTGAGGTTTACGCTTCGGATTCTTTCGTAGCCTTTTCAATAATCGTCTCAGCTTGACAAGGTCGGAGCCATCTCTCCATTTCTGGGTAAGACGCCGTAGACAGACTCCGCAGAGGCATCAAATTTAGCCAAGGAAATGCGTTCATGTCGAGAGCTGTGAAATTATCACCCATTAGAATTTTTCCTTTTTCTTTGAGCCTCGACGCAAAGGCTATTATTACCGTTGACTATCTATGAAGGTCGTTCGTCTTCTCCATTTCAAGGCCAGTGTCATCATTTCATTGCGCTCAATTGACCCAGCTTAGTAGCCACTGGCGTTCAGAAGAGCGGTGTAAATTTAGCTTAATGTCGGAAAGCTGGTAACGGCATGCCAGAGCCTGGATACCGGTGCTTGACCAACGATTGCCACCATGCTTGCATGAAGTAGGCCTGCTGCCTCCCAGCTGACCAAGATTGCGCCAGTCAGTACTTTTTTCTCTAGGTCGATCACCCATTGAGCCCACCCGTCGTCGTTGAACTCGACACGAACTTAGACTCTAGGGAACATGAAAGGAACAGCCACCTCCTTGATATTCTTACCCTTACGCTTCACCTCAGCTAGGTTATGCTGACGCTTACAACATTTAAATCGATGAACACTATCTACGAGATTACAGAATGATCGGCCGTAGCCGAGAAGTCGGCCCGTGGTACCTAGGAAGTACGAGCTCTACCTTCACCTTCTGAGATAATTATGAGGGTAGCTACCCCAGCTTAATACATACCTATATGATTTAGAGAACTTCCTCCGTTGGCATCTCTGATTGTATTGTAACAAGGCAAAGTGGCTGTGCTGTTGTCGACAGGGTCGCGGGAGCGCCACTGCGGCAAACCACCTGTTGACAGGGTCGCGAGAGCACCATTGGGGCAAACCACCTGAGACGCTAGACGCTTCACCAACTGCGCAAACTGACTCAACCTCGTTGTTCCTGCAGTTCTGTGACAGGATGGCGACGGAGTAGGAGGTTTTAGGAATGCTCTTGTGGTTACAGGCCAATGTATATATAAACAGGCAGAGTCTCTCTGAATAGCCTGGGGGACAGAGCACAATCAACCAGATAGATCCACAACTGTTCTGCGTTCAACAGCTGTGCTGTGCCGTGCTGTGCAGCGCTGGTATAGTGGTACTGGGGAGGGGGGGGGGGTTGTCTAGTCACATGTCAAACCAAAAATGGGCTGGCAAGGGGAGTGCGGAACAGTCTACAGAACTAGTAGAGCGCCATTCTTTAGATTTAATCAGAAAGAGTATAAGTATTATGCTTTTGATGCCGTCTACCTATTTCTGAGTGTTCTATGGGCCCGTTCCTAGTTCTCAATGTTGTCGCCGTGCTAGGCGCTCGCTGCCCTAGCTGCTGCCTCTCTTGGGGTGATGTTGGTGGTGGCGTTGCTCTGTCAGTGTCAACCAGAAAGGCGTCCTCGATTCCCGATCGGCTGGACAGGCCTCTGTGCGTTGTTGCACGTGCACGCCGAACCCTGAAGTGCTCTGTTACAGCATCACCATGATCAGCATAAATAACTTGGTAACTCTTTTAAGTAAGCAAGGGATATATGAAGGAGGGGAAACTCTATATCGATCCGAGCTTTACTAAAGTGTATAGCTCTAGGAGAGGATGACCCATCGACATTCTAAAGTAGTTAGATGTTTGAGCGAATTGTGACAAACAGAGTGTCAAGTAAAGTGACAAGCCTCTGCTGAAACGCTAAATGTCGCTGCGCTGTTGGTGTGAGCGAGTCATAATTAGTACTCGGGATAGGACCACAAGGTATTATCACATCTTTGCTTGTTCTGGAGGCGCCAGAATCCCTATGTAGCGCACTATGGAGCTGTAGAGCCATGATCGAGACGTCTCAGTACCCACATCTCCAGTTGTCATCTAGGTAAAGCGCATGAAGCTCTTCCCTCTTTCAACTACGCCCTTCAATCCCTGTTTTTCGAGAATTGGGCCACTCTAGCGGTCAGCTTGAGACATTGTCGCTGCGAGCTGCCTACGTCCCAAGTCTCATGGCAGGAGCGAGCCCGCTGTCACTTCTGCAAGCCATGGCCCATAGTGACGACCTCACAAGACAGTATCGGTTGTCATGACATTTTCAACCAGAAGGCTGTCCGAGGCAGTGTGTTCTTCTTACCATGGTATATAATACGTTGGAACTCTAACCTCATTTTCCTAGGATTAGTTGCGATTCACAAACAACCCCAGTCCTACAAACTTTGAAGGCTGCGCTCCAAAGGCGATCCCAGTATTCACCTCAAAACCTCGGTCTTTCGCCGCACAGCGTATCGAACGGTCGACCTTACCTTCGCAGTAGGTATGCAAGTCGGCTAATCCGTCTCTTGAGTGATCCTACGGTCGAACTCCCCGAGAGCGTCGTGACTAAGTCGAACTTTGGAGAACGTGTCCAGAAGCTAGGAGGACGATGGTGAGGCTGAGCACGGCTTTCCGAAAGAGATTTATGTTTCTTTACAGTTGGCTCCAGCTCAAGATTCCTAAGCTCGCGTGAGGATCGTTCTCACTTTCGCATCTTGGGTTCTTTGAGGACGAACATAAGTGTGGAAGAGAGAAAAGGTCGAGAAAAAAGGTGCGAGGGGGTGGCCTCAAGAGAGGACACAATAAAGTTCGGCAAGTTAGCCACGGTTGCATAACGAGGAGAGGTGTGGCAGGTTATCGACGCAGCATTTCGCACCCAGTCAATGTATTGGCCGTATATCTGCGTTGATGGAGGGTTGCACACGATTTCAAATATCCACTCACATTCTCGGGACGCTGGTCTCAGACAGACAGCATTTTTGATCCAGAGCCAATTGTAGCTTGGAAGACGAGATCAACTCCTCAACCGGTGAGGTATTCAATGCGAGTCTATATGCTTTGATTCCTTGGTGATTTCACCCCATTCCCCTCTAGACCCCGCCCCAGCCGCTGACTAGTACACACCTTCGACTCCTTAAAATACTGTGTCGGGTTCACCAATCATGTCGAATTCAGCGGATTGCCCTTGCACACTTCCAGGATCTTACCCCAGGTTTTTGACTTAGATTGCCTGCGCAGTGTCTCCAGAAACAACTGATTACGTAGCCACGCTGTGTATTACCAAATTAGGCGGCTTCAAGAACTAAACTCGTGTATCAAGGAAGATCTCGAGAGACCTCGTGTCAAAGTCGCTAACACATCAATAAAGTACGTTTCACAATGCTCTCCAAGATTCGGAAAAGGAGGTTCATTCACTAATCATCTTTACCGCGTAACTTAATCAACTATCAACTTAAGAGGTAGTATAAGTTATTTATGTACGTTGCGCTGCGCCTTGTACTTAGTTTTAGATTCATCCTGTCGAGACTTTGATAATGATTTCTGTTGTGAGGATTATGTAGGAGGCTACCTGAATGCCTTCCGATCCAATTGAGTTCCGTAACCACTGGTCTTGCTGTACAGTCTACCCTGCCAACGCAACTCCTAAACTTACCGTGAGCCTGAATCCTGCCCGTTGAATCTACCTCGCTCAATTTGTCCCTTGGTCACTTTCCAACGCCCTGTGAACGATATTTTAGACAACAATGGCTTCATTCAACGCGGCTCAATCACGTCTATGTCGATCCGTGGCCATCCAATCCCAATTAGGTATACAATATTGGGGATTTCTCGTCTGCTCTGAGATCCCTTGCCTCTAGCAGCAAGGCACACCGCCGCACTCAAACATAGTACGCAAGGATAACCCCTTACTTCGGAGGTGCAGGCGACCTTCCCATTTCTTCTTCGCTTTGAGGCCATGTCCCGATAACAAGTCAAGAGAGCCGACAACACGCATGTCCCGCAGGTACTAAATTTGGGAGCCTCTTAAATAATCACGCACTTTGCAACCAAGTTGCTAGGAACTGGGTGCGTATCGGGTGAAAGGCAAGGGGAACTCCGGCCGGGCTTGAACAAGCAAGTATTCGAGCGGGATGAAAGCCTATGGCCCTATATAGCAGCCCCTGGTGGCCCCTAAGTGTACGTGACAAATGGGCCACTGGGTACCTCGTACTGGGTATTTCGTCCACGTTTGCTGGGAATTCTCCAAACAAGAAGGAGGGTATCGGGGGCCCTAGACTCGGGAATACACCATCCAAGCACTTTTATGGCCAGAACGCCCACGCCATTGCACGCTACAACAGACGCCCCTCCCTTCAATGAATACTTCTGCTTCTGGCAGTGAGCCACAGAGGACGAGAGGAAACCGGGAAACGTGCCCTCGAAGCGAACAAGGCATGTGTGCCCTGCCGTGTACGTAAAGTCGGGTGCGATGTCGCCGTGATTGGTCTCCCTTGCAGCAGCTGTACCAGCAAGCAGTGTGCTAAGGACTGTGTACAGCCGGACCGTAAGGGTTGGACCAAGTGAGTTGATTACTAATAGGATGGCTCATCGTTTATGGATCATTAGGTGCGTGCTAACAGTAGATGAGGCTCATAGGAAAGTCATACATGTCTTACCGATTCCTAGCCATGTACGAGTATACCTTAGATGATTGCCATTTTCCCAGCTGCTTCTCTTCTCCGCCTTTTTTTCTGTTCCTTCGGCGATCCTTCAGAATTCCCACTAACCGTTGCCAGACTACAGGCATCCTGGTTACATCCAACAGTAGCCAGTTTGATAGTCTCAATCAATCAAAACGATCAAAACGATCAAAACGATCAAAACATTCAAGGCACCCTTCCACTTCCAATCCCCTGGACTACCAAAGCCCACGTCAGACTGAGCCAGATCTGCTCTACCTCAATATTCTAAACGACGCCGTGAGCGAAACTACAGGATCCTGTCGACGCCACACCGTTTCCAGTACCCCCCCCCCCCCCCCCCCCCCACCGTCCAAGGTCGGAAGACTGTTTTACTCCTCGGAACTGTCTATGGACCAAGCTATTCCACTTGGACGACATTGACAATGGATATCTTGTGAAGAAGGGTGTCTTTGATCTACCTCCTTCGCGCCACTTGTGAGACAATCTTGAATCCTCCATCCTCCATCTCATTTGGGTCTTCGGCTTCACTGTACTGACAGACAAAAACAATAGAGATGCCCTCATTAAGACATACGTTGACCACGTCTACCCTTCTGTTCCCGTGATCAACAGAGCTGATTTCATTCCCAGCTATCAATCCGGCGACTGCCCGTTGGTCCTGCTCCGCGTTATATTAACACCAGCCAGTCTCCTTGCGCCAGCAGACGTGCTATCCGCCTGCGGCTTTGCCAGCCGCTCGGCGGCGCCAGAGTCGTTCTTCTCCAAGGTCAAGCTGCTCCACGACTTTGCCGCAGAAGATTACCCGTTGCTGATGCAGCAGGGATCCATCATCTTGTGCACGGTGATTCTCGACCACCCCATCGACTGGGACTTTGGCTACTGGTTCCACAATGCGATCCGCCTTGCCACCAAGCTAGACCTACGCAACACGTGCGTTTCCTACTCCTAGACTATTACACCTGTGACATGTATGGCGGGTTCTAACTGCCTACGGGCTCTCCGACAGGTGTGTTCGAGAAGATAAACCCCGAAAGGTCTTAAAGTTATACAGAAGAATCTGGTGGGCTCTCTATGTACGTCTCTCTTCTTGTCACCGTGGTCCGATTTTCCTGCTTTATACTTACTATAGCTACGTAGTTTTTAGACATTTTCCACGTCTTTGTCAATACCAGACGCTCGCGGCTACTTGAAAACACCTCCACGATCAAGCCTAGGACAGATACCTCCACTCTCACTCTGTGCACAATAGTTACCAATATGTCCTGCCTCGAGCTTTTATCGCACTCACTTAACGCGGCATTGATCCTTAAAGCTATGTGCCTTCACGTCTTTACGGACGATCGGTGATGGATAGGCGTCATGATTCAGCTAACAGCAGTAATGATATGACTTGTTTCGAACAGCCTGAGCGTATCTTGAAAAGCCTGTTCTTTACTGGGTACAGGTACACTGTCATTGCCATGCGATGACCACTTCGGAGTAGAGGGTTACTATAAACAGCTGAGAACGGAACCGAGTGGCTGAAAAGCCAGAGAGGTGTTGAACCAATCTGAGGTCAGTAAGTTGATTGATTGAAGAGCGGCGTTCGATCAGTGACGGAAGAGGCTTTAATACCGGCCTGTGCAACGTCGCCAAGAGGTATCTTCCTTAGCCTAATCGGGCTAGGTCAAACCGAGAGAAGCAGGCAACTCCCGATTCCTTTTTCCCGCACAGCCTTAGACCTTATAACAAGAATCTTTTCAGCTGAAAGGTATTCCGCTCTCAAGACCGAGCATCGGGGGAAGGCCTCGAATTTATTTTCCTCTTTCGAGCCTGCAAGGTACGCTGATCGACAACGGTCACATCAACAATAGCTTGCTGAGTCGCTGAAACCAAATTCCCACGGTCTTCCGTCCACCCTCTTGAATGATCATTCCCAATGCGGCAGACTACGGTCAGCCGCGGAGTTTAATCGCGGTGCGCTAAAGACACTTTCCTCGATGTTGTCGAAGCCTCTCATAACAGTCCGAACGGGGAACATAGATGAGAAAGAAGGATGGGATGCCCAAGATGCCGTAATCGCTCGCTTCACCAATCATGGTCTCAACCCTGAGCGATAAGGCTCTCCTTGCTTCGACTGTAGTGGCTCGCGAGTCGCTACAGTCTCATTGAAGTCTGAGGGCGAAGCCGGAAAGGCATTACTGTTGAACGGCAAGACTTTGGGCTGGAAAAGGTGGACATTGACCACGACTATTTTTGCCTCACCGTTCTTGCGACGCCCCAGCGGCCGAGTTTGCTTCAGTCACGAGTTCAATTGGCGCGATCGTCACCGTGTCGATAGTGTGCAAAGGCCTTGCCAACGACATTCTCAACAGTGGAGCTTCCGCCACTGCACCTGCGAGCACAGATATGAATGTAGATACCAACAGCGGACCAGCAAGAACTGCGGGAGTGCTGGGAGTTATGGGAGGGTCTCTCCTGGCTGTCGTTACAGGATGGTGACAAGGCGCGGTGGAGTCATGTCATGCATGGCATTATCGGCGGCCATGGGATCGAGAAATACGAAGTAGAGGAAGATCGACCGTGGAGGCGGGTGGCGTCAGCCATGCGAGCGAGGCTAGCATCAATCAGGGTCCCAGTCACGTGGGCGAGTGCAACCACACGTGCGGTTGCTACAGTACTTGGGTACCTCGTAGATAAAATATAAGGGAGAAGACGGGTGACAGGTTTTTCGCACGATGCTATAGATACCTATCTAGACGCTGTAAATATATATAGAGTTATTAATCATCACCTCTAATAACTAGATTAGGTCTGAACACATAATAGGATTGTCCGTAGGGCTTAAGGTGCTCTTTAGGGGAGCCCCTTATGGCGCCCTTCTCCCTAAGCAGCCCCTAACGGACACCGGGAGAGTTGCCTTGGCATGACTAGAGCTTTCTTAGCTTGTTAGCGAAGTTACTTGCCAATCACAGACTGCACTGCACATGCGCGTCTGCGGCTTCGCTGCATCTGAACAGGCTGGCAGAATTATTATTCCTGTACCAGAATTACCTGCGCATTTTCGCCATCTCCACCACCATCTCACTCGTACGCCATCGTCTCTCCTTTACCACTCACCGCGCGATCCAATTCCAATTCCAGTATCACTTTCACTTCCCGTTGCAGCTCCAGATCCAGATTATTTTCGGCTTCTTCTTGTCTTCAACAATCCAGGTGAACGACAGCAGGCGTTGCCGCGCCTTGCGGACTACCCTCTGGAATCTACTCTCTGATTCCGATCCCATTGTTGGCACTTGTCCAGCTGCTCATTTTCCGATTGAATCTCGCCCACTATGAATCTCTTCAGGTTACTCGGTATGCGCACACAGACTGTTCTAGAAGATGCGACAACATGCTAATTGAACTGTTCCTCTGCACAGCGGACCTGTCGCATCTAGTCTCTATCTTCATCCTCCTTCACAAGATGAAGATCTCGAATGTATGTCGAACCCAAGCCCCACGAGCCAATATCGGCGAGAAAATACAGGGCCATCGCTGACCGCTCATCCTTCTTGTTCAAACAGTCATGTTCAGGCATCTCCTTCAAAACACAAGCGTTATATTTTCTCGTCTACGTGACGAGGTACCTTGGTCCGTCCAACTCCCAACCTTCAACCACACGAAGGCTTCTTGTCTAACATAGGCGTCGACGCTTAGATCTCTTCTGGACCTTCACCGATAGCGCATGGAACACCATCTTCAAACTCATCTTCCTCTCCTCCTCCCTTTACACCCTCCATGTAATGTTAAACGACTACAAACCAACCCACGATCCCAACCTGGACACATTCCGCGTCTCCTACCTTACCGGTGGTTCAGCCATCCTCGCCCTGCTTTTCCCCTACCGCTACACGATCCCAGAAGTGCTGTGGGCGTTCTCCATCTGGCTCGAGAGTGTCGCAATCTTGCCGCAGTTGTTCATGCTTCAAAGGACAGGCGAGGCTGAGACAATCACCACGCATTACCTGTTTGCATTGGGGATATACCGGGCTTTGTACATCCCGAACTGGATCTATCGGTGGTTTGCAGAGGGACATTTTGATCCGATTGCCGTGGTCGCCGGTGTGATCCAGACGGTTTTATATTCGGACTTTTTCTGGGTTTATTATACAAAGTGAGTTTTTACATTTTCTTGCCCAGGCAACCAATCTTGGAAAGGTTGGAAGGTAAGCAAGGCGGCTAAGAGAGTTGATACTAATTTGTGTGCACTTGGTAGGGTTCTCAAAGGGAAGAGCTTCAAGTTGCCAGTTTGAGAGCGATGCTTGTATGAAGATCGGGACCCATCTGGTCCGACCCCGAATATTACTCCTCTTTAGCTTGCTTTCGATCTCGGGCGTCGAGCGGATGTTCGAGAGCAAGACCAGGCGTCTGGGGAAGCACGGAATGGGATAGAAAAAGAAGGGCTTTTTTTTTGAGAATGAAACCCATTTGTAAAATTTTAAACATGCCATGCGGAAGGAAATTTCATGACCATCCCAGAGAGCCCCTTCTCAACGTTCATCCACGGGGCTTGAGAGCCAGACACCCAGGGTCAAGGACAGTCGGAATGCCGACTGTTTTATTGCGCGGCCTCCATACCTTTTGGTGGTTGCAAAAGGATGACTTACAGAGGCTCATGCACCAGGATGCGCCGCCGAGGAAACACAGAGAGAACAAGCCGGAGAAGCACTCGTGCTGTGTAATCAATCAAACCAAAATCAAAATCGATAAGCAAAGTGAAGCGGTAAAGGAGGCATGAATGAATATCATGGACAAGCAAAAGGCGAAGGGAGTCGAAATACTAAATACCTAGGCCACCAACTAGCTCGCTAGGTCTGGAGGACCTGTCGAAACCTTCACGCCCGACCGCAATTGTCGATCTGAATCTCAAACCGCGATATTAGTAGTCACTCAGGACTTGAGGGCGCGCTACCTACTCAGAATTTAGAACTCGATATCCAGTGGGTCCTGAAGACCCCAGGACCCAGAACCCAGGACGAAGTACATATGAGTAAGGATAGAGTGAAGGCGATCGAGTTATTAACAAGTGGGAATCGGTATTGTGCCATTTGATCGACTCCAAGAAATCTGTCTCGTTGAGAGGTTCCGGACACCGGCGACTCGCGAGCCGCGTAAATAAATAAAGGAATGTACTTTGTATATAAATATATGGATCTATACCCAAGATTCGGGAGCACCTGCTTCCTCCGGGCTCCGGCTAGCTTCTCCATTTCGTACCATTTTCGGGGCCACTGTTCCCGCCTCACGCCGTAGGGATGGAGTTTCTTTTTAACCCGATGTACTGTTAACATCCAGCTAATTCTCTCCCCAATTGTGTTTCGTCCCCAACACGGCCAACACAACCACGAGTGCACATACGACGACACCGACGGCGCTCATCCATCGATTCAGATTTCTCCACCACCGTGCGTTTTGGAATTTCAGTTCCGCCACGCCCGCAGTGTGCCGTTCATAGCGGAGTCTGGCTATGATGTCCATCGACTCCAACTCTTGTTCTGCTTGGGAGTAATTGGAACTGCGCTGCTGAGACGGAGAATGACGCATTGATTGCGTTCGCGACTCTGATTGCTGTGGAGGATATGATTGTCGATGTCCTTGACGCTGTTCTTGCACGACTTGCTTTTCGATGTCCCCAAAGCTCGCCGGCCTTGTTGGAAGCGGCAAAAAAGCAGCGATGAACCAAGCCAGGGGTATGAGGAAACCGGTGGTAAAGCAAATCGCCTGGATGGAGCGGAGATCAATCCGCAGCGGATGTTGGGGCTGGCCGCTGGTGACGAGATCGGGCACACCGGTCGTCCAGCGGGATTTGGCGTTGAATGGGTGCCCGAAGCCACGAGAAACTGACGAGCCCGTGTCGAGGCGAGCGTCATGATGAAGGTGCGGAGAAGAAGACCAACGATGCCAGGAACGACGCAATACATTTCCACTTCCACTTCCTTGAGCGTGATGTATCACGGACTGGTTCGAGTCGGACTGAGAGCCACTGCTGCTATAGGTATAGCTGTGATGGTGAATCATGTAGCTTGAGCCGCGTCCGTCTTCGTGTGGTTGTTGATGGATCTCGACTATGCCGGCCCAATGAGCACGAGGGTCTGCGGGGTGTAATGGTAAGGAAACTGAGCGAGAGTGAGTATTAGGATAGGACTGAATTTGGGGATAAGATTGTCGCCGGCCGCCTGAGGCTAGAGCCGCTGTTGCGGGAGGGCGCACTGGATTCGAGACCAACGGACCAACACCAGGGAGACGGTGGGATTTCCGGGCCTCGAGTTTTGGTCGTTTCTTTGGTCGAAAAAGGCCACCAACGTGGTCGGTCATTGCCTGGTGGATGTTGCGCATGCTGGGGCTGGCGCTCGATTTGGACGTCTCGGGTCGTGAAGGCAGCTCTAAATGTACAGGAATCGGTGCTTGATTTGCCGCCAACTCTCTCAAATTCAAATATGAACCGCTGGAATAGAGATACTGAAAAGAGTCCCTGTAAAAGCCTGAATAATATCTTCGGGCCCACGTGGGTACAGGGACGATGCTCGTAATACTGCTAGAAGAACCTGGACGCAAGGAATTGGAAAGGAAACTGTTGTGTCGTGACTGCGTAAATGATTTCATGGAATTAAGTCGCGTGATTGACTGTTGTGAAGATGTATTAGAAGACGAGTTCAGGTAGCCGCCGCTCCTGGTTGGTCGAAGAGGCGGTGATCTATATGCAGAGGGTAATGCTGAGACTTCGTCCGTGGCTTCGTTGTGGTGAGAGTCCACCTCTTGGTGATTGCATTCGCATTCATATTCGAACCGGGACCCAGATCTTGGTTCGATTTCCGGAATAAGTCGGATTTGTGTTAGATTTGCGTCTTCGTTGATGATGTAGGTGGAGGCCGGGGCTAGTTCATCAGAATGGAGATATTCGTCGAGATCGTCAGGTATAGATGATACTTCACTGGTTGCTCTTGTTCTGGTCCACGAGCCTTCGGAGGGAACGGCTGATAACCTCGATGAGAATTTCGATGTAGACCCTTCAGTGGACATGGATCTGGAATGACGTTTGGGCACAGCGAGGCCGGCATGTTGGCTTACAGCAGGAGCCTGAACAACCGGGTACTGAATACGTGGTGGACTTGAGCTTAGAGCGGCCTGAAGACTGGCATGAGTGTCGGCGACAGAACTGCTATCGGAACTGGAATCGTCTCTTGCCAAAATTCGAACCACTGGGCTTGATTCGTCGATAGATTCGTTGGTCTGTTGGATGCTCTGTGGCGCTGACGATGGTATTCCTGGGTCCACAGGAGAACTCGTGCTTGCAGCAGTAGAAGACGGAATGTGACGGTGAACGGGAGGACTAGATGCAAGGGGAATCCTCGCTCCAACTCGTTCGGCAAAAGACCTCCCTCCTCCAGATTGAGACCTTTTCCTCTTCCTCGAAGAACTTGACGAAGATCGCGAATGGGTAGTATATTTTGAGAGGTCAGGTCGAGCTGTTGAGGGCGGAGACATTCCCAATTTTACCACCTTTGGACTCGACAACGGGTCGCTGCTTTGAAAATGTTCGGTACTAGAGGAGTGCGCGAGGCGGACGACGTTGGGACTGGAGGATTGGTCGCTGCTTTGAAACTCCTCCGTACTCGAGGTGTGGGCCAGACGGACCACATTTGGACTGGACGATTGATCGGTGCTCTGAAACTGTTCCGTGCTTGACGTATGTGCGAGACGAACGACGTTGGGGCTCGAAGAACCATCTTTCCCAGAGTTTGCACTTGGAATCTCGTCAAATGCTCCCAGCAAAGGACTGTTCAGGTCTTTGAAAGCTGGCGGTCTCGGACTCGATGTTACTCCCAATACTTTGTAGTTCGGAGTTGAGGTCACAATATCCTTCTCCGGAATCGAGGTAAATGAGGTACGCGACGAAATCCTCTTAAGAGCGCGGCTTCCGGTGGGCATAGACGGTAGCAAGGCCAAGTCATCCGAGGATATCTTTTGCAGAGACTCCCAGGCGTATGCGTTAGACAGGCTTTCACTAGAGCTGATGCTCCTGAGCCGAAACGAGCTCGCAGTACTCGGGCGGAGCGGTGGTGACGTAGCGGTTGAAGGACGGGACGATTCTTCGGCTTGAGATTCATACAAATCCCTTAATGCCTTTACCGATCGCTTCAGTCTAACGGTAGGTTGTGAGCCTCCTCGCGAGCCTCGTGAAGCATCGCTGCTTCTGACCGATTCATTCTCATAGTGAAACCCGGAAGTGTCGCTCAGCGGGCTTAGCCCGAAGCTCCTCTGCTTGCGGATGGTACTGGGGAGGAGAACATGTGCTGGTTTCGTGGGAAACGGTGTGGCGTTGTATATGTTCAAACTCTCTTGATCTGATCTTGGCTCTTTACCCACACGAGCGGAAATCTCATTGGTCTCCGAAGATGTACGTTCTTGTAACGGGGTGCGTCTGGGAAAAGTCCGCTTCGGCGATCTTTGCTGAACCAACGAAGGGGACGAGGACATAGCTATCTCATTGTCACGAGGAGCAACCGGTGATGCATTCGGTGACCCGGTGGGTTTAATGTCGATTCTCGAGGGTGTAGTGGTTAGGAGAGTTGACAGGGTAACGAACGACTAAAGGTGAGGTCTGCAATTCGAAAGAACGCTGGGTGGGCGCTCAGGGTGCAGGAGAGTGTCTTATTGATGTCTCAATGCGAGCCTCATAGCAATGAGATTCGGAGAAACAGTGGACTGCAATGTACTTGTAGCTTGGGTTAGGATGATGATGGGGCCGAGCTGCATATGCATGCTGCAGGGCGAGTTAAATTGAGATCTGATCGGCTTGTGGACTGGCGGCGTGCAACTGGGCGTCTGGTGTCTGAGAGTTGGTCTGGTATGTGCAGAACTGGGTGTGTATGTACATAGGAAAAGAATGTTGGATGTTGTCGGCGTACTCGGTAGGGTTGGAGAGTCGCAGGCACCGAGGATCGTTTTGGGAGACACTGCTTGTTACCCGCCTTGCGATTTTTCGGGATCAGGGGAGGAGAATTAAACGGCCTTGAGATCCCAGTTTCCTTCTCTTGTGAGAGGCTTGTACCCATGTAAAATTGGAGTGGCTGCGATGGTCACAGCGGTGCCAGTATTGAGCAAGGACCAACTGCGCAGCTGGTGGTGTGGATTGCTTTTGTGTCAAGGAGTCTGTCTTCGGCAAATGGTGGGAAAGTCGCGTCTCACGCTTTGGCTTCCTCCATCTCGGTCGCGTGGCATCCTGCACCTCTTGAAATTCACCGATTGGGGGGAAGGGTGTCGCGAAATTAACGCGACAATCTGGCTGCGACAGGGGGAAGAAGTGGAGGAGGGCGCACAATGAGGCGCCAGCAAGTGGCACACCCGCGCAGGGAATTCCAATTTTCCGGGTCGAAAATCAGAGGGACCACGTCAATAGCGTCGCCGCTCAGGCCACAGTGATGATTTGAACAAGACACACGGTGACATTGGCCGCAGGAAAGACATACATAACATGCCCACACACCGACTCTTGCATCTCTGATCGAAAACGCCACGATTTCCTCTTTGGGAACGTCGAAGGCCCCTTTATTATTATCCCGACTCCAGACTCCAGACTCCCTAGTCAACCTGACAGCACCCCAAGCTCCCTTTGCAACGTCCTTTCTACCACTCACGTCCTCATCCGCTGGCTGCCAGCGCCCGGCTTCAACTATGGCTCCCATGGACTTCTTCGTCAAGCTGAGAAACACCTATTTTGGCCATGCAGGTGCGTTGGACGCTTCATTGGTTGGCAGTTGTCGCCATGTCTGCTCTCCGCTCTTCTGAAACTAGTTCTCCCACATGCCACACACAGACCTTCAGGCTTCTGGTGCTTCATGGCGATGAACGGCTGTCAATCTAAAATTCTCCCCCTCCCCGAATCCACCCATTGACCAACCCATGATTCAAATCGTTGCGTTGTCCATGGATTGCTGGTCTTGACCCCGACTGATGCGGTTACATATCGATAATGTCGTAACCGGCCGCGATAGGCCATGGCTGATGGATCCTGGCTGATGCCTATTGATCATTGCTGATCCGAATGACCAAACAGACAAGGACAGGCCCGTCATTTCGCCTACCACAGCAGCCTTTCTATCGGTACGCAAAATGTGGCCCGTACTCCATATGTACAGCTCTGATCAACCCTCCACCAGGTCACTTGCACACTAATATACGTGGTCCCTTTCTACTTGTCCTCATCAACCCGACCATCGCCTACCCTAAATCGCGACGCCCCCAGCGTCATCCGTGCACGCATTCGGACCGTCACTTTGGCCTGTATCATCGCCAGCGTCGCCACTCTCTATGTGCTGACCAGAACAGCGAAGCTCTCCCTGTCCGATGCTTTGCACATGCTGGGTTGCTGGCCAGTTCGCCCTTTGGACCTGTTCAGATCCTTGATGTTGACATTCCTGCTATATGTCGGACCGCTTTTCGAGAAGATCTTCATCGAAAGAGATGTCGATGATCTGCTTCATCGTGGTGTCGCTGCGATTAGTGAAACTCTCAGCAGTTGGCAAGGTTACAGGAACTTCGTCGCTGGACCCATCACAGAGGAAATAATTTTTCGCTCTGTTCTCATTCCCATACACCTGCTCGCGAAAGTCTCACCTAGCAAAGTCGTCTTCCTGACACCACTCTACTTCGGCATCGCACATATCCACCACTTTTATGAGTTTCACTTGACGCACCCTCACGTCTCGCTCCTACCGGTGCTGCTAAGGTCGCTATTCCAGTTCACCTATACTACACTCTTTGGGTGGTTTGCAGCGTTTATCTACCTGCGGACGGGGTCAGTCTACGCCTGCATCATCATTCACTCATTCTGCAACTGGGTCGGTCTTCCTCGCTTCTGGGGCCGCGTGAGAAGGCGGGACGACTATCCTATCTCCCCGCTTGCTATCCGCGGGAAAGACGATACAGATGTCGTCCATGCGCAGGGAAAAGGCGAGAAACTGGGGTTGAGGTGGACGGTGGCGTATTATCTACTTCTAGTGGCGGGTGCCATTGCATTTTATCGAGGGCTGTGGCCGTTGACGACATCCGATGCGGCTGTGGCCGAGTTTGCAACAAATAAACGCAAGACATAAAGCTCCAGATCTGTTATAGGGGAATGGGCAGAGATAACAAGAAGCCCAGCCCAAGACCAAAAGACCTTTTGGACTACGCGTACGGAAGGAGGAGCCGCTGTCTGTATACTGATGGGAAATGAATCAGTCCCAGTGTAGTACCCCTACCTAGCCTTCCGGCGCTGGACTGTTGCATTTCTCCCTTTCCTCTCCTTCCTCCTTTCTTCCCATCTACCCCACCCAGCGTCCTGGATATCTTCTGTGACAATCAAATCCCTGACCCTCAGCCTCCTACATATCCAAAAATCCAAAGCCCAATCTAGCCACCCATAATGCCGTAGATACGACGTGAATACAAACCAGGTGACCGCAAAGAGAGCCCCAGCAGCAACTCCAACCCAAACTTGCTTTGGCGTGTGGTAGTTCAAGTAAACGCGGCTAGCGGCGACAGCCCCGGCGCCCGTACACGCGACGAAAGATAAAACGAGGCGCTCGGCGCGTGTGGTAGGTGAATAACTTGCTGAAGGATTGGGGACGTGCCGGAAAATTAAGAATAGACTCAATGAGATGGCGAAAAAAGCCACAAATTGGGAGTGCGACGAGGGCATGCCATAGCCTTTGCCCGTCATTTCTGTCCGTCCACAAAGAATTAATCGAACTTGGACCTCCTATAACCTCAAAATAGCAACGGGTCTGGGGGTGAGCGAAAGAAGGGACGTACGTTTAGGGCGTTCTTGTCGAATCAACCGTTTCAAGGCAAAATTTACGACTTCACAAGCCATTTGGCCAGCGAACATGAGGAATATCTCGGCTTCCCGCGATGCCCATATCAGCGTCACATAGGCCACACAGAGGCCTTGTGGCACCAGAGCTAGCCATGCTGATGCATAGGATATGGGGTCCCCGGGAGTCTGGGAACGTTAGCCGTGCCAAAGAGCAAGGCACTTTCAGTGCCGAGTATGAATAGACGCTACGTACATAGCGGACATGGGTGAGCGATAACGAAGCGAGTGGCTGGTCGTCCATCCTTGACAGATACCTAGGTATCTATCAAAGAAGGCGGAGAACGGATGACTCAAACAGCCGGAGGATCGAATCAACGTCAAAAAGGGTGTTAGAGGGAGATGTTGGAGATGACAAGCGAGGCTGAACCAACTGTGGCGAGATTAAAGCCACCACGCCACCACAAGCCTCGCTTTGTTTTGCTAGTTGAAATCCTGGTGCCTCGTCGATTCTTTCCCTGCAATCAGAAGCGACCTTTTTGTTTCTTTTTCCTCTCTCCACAGCGCCTGGTGCGTCATTGTTTGGTTGTTGAGCATGTCGTGAATGAGTCGTGCCTCTTTACCGAGTCCGAGATTGATAATGCGCCCGTTGTGGCTTGGTACTCCTTCTTCTCTACAAAGAGCGACATCCTTTCAAAGGCATTTTGTCTTTGTTGACTTGTCGGGCATCTCCCATGGCCCCCCAATAAATATTCTCATTTTCCTCTGAATTCCGCCCTCAGGCCCTCTTTTCCCCGCATCATTCCCATCCATCCTCAATCTCTGTAAAACGATGGACGATACTAACCAAAATACGAGTGAAGACGAAAGAGCCATTGAACTTTCAACCATCGCCGCCATTTATCCTGAACTCGTGGTTGACGATCAAGACCCATATACTGCTACTCTCGACCTCGCTGTAACACCCGTCCGGCCGCTGCGGATTCTCTTTCAACCCTCGACAGACAGTGCGCCACCCATTCTTCCCACACCACCTACCTCTCCTGAGCAAAGCCAGAATGATAGCGGCGCGAAGCTTGCGTTACAACAGCCTGTCCTTCCCCTCGACGCTCACGAGCTCTCTCATTTGCCCCCACTGTCGCTCCGAATCTCGCTGCCGGTGGGTTATCCAGCCACGAAACCTCCGGTCATTTCAGTCTCCGTTACACCTCAATGGCTGTCTCGACCCGTTTTGAAACGCCTCAAGGACGATTGTGCTAGGCTGTGGGAAGAGCTGGGGAAAGATCAGGTCGTCTATGCATATATAGACCATGTCCAACAAGAGGCGGAACAAGCTTTTGGTCTTGCGGGGGGAATGGACGTTGAACTGTCTAGTGACCTGAAGCTGGCATTGCTAGATTTCGACCTCAAAACCAAGCGCGAACATTTTGAGAAAGAAACCTTTGACTGCGGGATTTGTCTAGAGCCGAAGAAGGGGAACTATTGCCACAAGCTCATGATGTGCGGGCACGTCTTTTGCGTCCCGTGCTTACAGGAGTTCTACAAGAGTTGCATAACGGAAGGAGATGTTGATAATGTCAAGTGTCTTGACCCTGGTTGCGGCAAAGATGAACCTGGAGGGATGGGCGCGAACGGTCGGCCCCCGAAGAGGCGGAAACAAGACCAAACACTCAACCCCAGTGAACTGTTGCAGATTCCCATCGACCAAGAACTCGTCCAGCGGTACGTGCGTCTCAAACGAAAGAAGCGGCTTGAATCGGACAAGAATACCATCTACTGTCCTCGACAATGGTGCCAAGGAGCCGCAAAGTCGAAGAAACATCCCAAACCCATTGACCCGTTGAATGATGTTGAGGAAAGCTCAGAATCAGAAGAAGAACAATCCGATTCGGCGTCTGGAAAGAACAAGCAACGCGAGCTGGAAGATGTACCTGTTTCGGAACGTCTCGCTGTGTGCGAGGACTGCGATTTCGCATTCTGCAGTGTCTGCCGGAGGGGATGGCACGGCGTGCTGGTGAGATGCAATCCTCGACGAGAAAAGGAAATCAACGAAGAAGAGGCGGCCTCAATGGCATATCTGAAGAAGCACTCTACCCCTTGTCCGACCTGCAGCGCACCGGCGCAGAAGACGATGGGATGTAACCACATGACTTGCTTCAGGTGCAAATGCCATTTCTGCTACCTGTGTGCGGCATATCTTATGCCTGACAATCCTTATAGTCACTACAACGACACCAAGAGCCCATGTTATATGCGTCTGTGGGTGATGGAAGAAGGGGATGGCGAAGGCGTGGACGCCGATCGTAATCCAGATCTTGCAGAATGGGACGAGATTGACGATGCAGATGATGGGTCGGACGATGAAGGGCTCCCGCCCGAGAACTTTGCCGCATTTCAAGGCGACCATGGACGACCGTTTGCCGATGAAGAAGATACTGATGATGAAGAGCCGGCACCTGACCAGCGGCGCAATCGCCAAATGCACATTGAAATCGTGAACTTTGCGCGACCCGGAGCACAAAATGCTCACCGAATCGAACTTCCCGAACGACCTCGGGCTCCAGCTCGTGTCGAAGCCCCTATTCCCCCACAAGTACCGAATCCACCAAGACCGAGACGTCGACGGAGAGGTGGTGGCCAACAAGCGAACCGCCAACGTGCGATGGCGAACGAGCCTGCCCGCGCAGCCCAGGCTCAAGGGCAAGCTCGGGCTCGGGTTCATCTTCATGTTGCATTGCCTGGACGGGATATTCGAGCAGTCGAAGACCGGCAGAATGGCCTCAACCGGGTACATGGCGACAATGTAGCTGTTCTGCCTAACGGCAACGTTGATGGCAATGCCGATGCCGCGAATCCTCCAGCACAGCTTCCGCTTGCTGCTCCCGGTCAAGGAAATCATCCGGCCGCTGCGCACGGCGCGCATGCGGGTCCTGTGCGCGCCATGGGGCTAGAACGGTTCTTGCAGCTTGCACAGCAAGACCAAGAGGATGAGTGGGACTCGGACGAGCTGGACGAAGATGATTTCCAAGCCATGGAGCATGAGCAAGAGCACGAGCCACGGCGGAGAAGACAGGAGAGGGTCATGGGCTGGCGGTGACAATTCACATGACATAAGCCTGCGGGGCAAAAAACTTTGAATATAGAAGCGATATTGAACATCAGAATGATGTAGCTTGTATATGAACCTCTATGCTGAACAAACACGGTGCAGTTGGGCGACTGCCTAAACCTGTCTAGACAACTCAAAAAGTTGCTGAAAAGGTGCGCCGGGTCTTGAGAAGACCTCGAGTTGGGTGCCTAGCACAGACAAGGAGGTTGATCTGTAAAGCTATACGTATCATCAGCTCCAGCCAAGTAGGGGTCTCAAGGCTGACTAGGCTGTGGAAAGGGAGGGGATCAACAGCGGGGCATATTGTCATCTAGCTAGGAACACTGCCTAGCCTGTTGGAACGATCGCATTCAGCTGGATCACCTGCTGCCAACGGGCTGGTCGAGCCATCCTCGCCATGTTGGATTTCGAGACGAAGAGACTGCACAGTGCAAATATGGACGGCGTTGCTTTTGCCTTCTGAAATCCCGTGTGAGGATCTTCATAATACTAACCGATACCCCATCTACACCATACGCCCCACTCTCTGTTCGTTGCTCTCGTATCTAGAGCATCGTGATCACATCGTGAAGGACAATCCAGAGCTCAGTCCTCGAACGCAAGGTAGCTAGAAGCACATCGAAGATCGCATCCGGGACAACGTTTGATCAGACACGTGGTGTCGCTGAAATTCCCCCAATTGTGTGGAGGATATTTGCGGGTTAGGGATCGGCTGACGCAATGATCATCTTGTGCTGCTAACAAGGAGTTGGTGGTGTCGATGAGTCTTGTAGTTCAGCGAGACTGTCAACAGGAAGTTGAAGATGCTGCGGTGAAGCAGCCGTGATGTCATGCGGTGATGCCAAGACGCGCTAAACGCAAATGTGACGTCGATCTTCGAAGGGGTGGAAAAGTCCAACACCAAGACAGAGGCCAGGCTTGGGCCAGCCGGACCAGGCTTATCCTTTGTGCAACAGCCTTCCCACGGTGCCCATGGTGCCCACCACGGCTAGCATCTATTATTTTTGCTCTTGCATCTCCCAAGCGAGGACGATCTGTCCTCATATGGCCTTTGGATCCACTCGCCGCGTGCCGAGTAGTCACTCGGTAGGCTTTGTGGGCTCTACACGTCGCCACCTTCCATGGTAGCATTCCAATAGGCCATCCCCACGTTTTCTTCAGCTTTGACCCTTGCAAGGAGGAATATTCCCTTGCAGAATGACATCAGTGCCCCAAGATGGATTACACAAGATCGCCCTGTTGTATTAAAACCCTTTTCTTCTCTGCTGGTGCCACTTTCCGGCCTTTGTTGAACTCGCAAAAGATCGATTCCCATCACCACTACCCAACATGAAGGGCATGAGCACAAAAGTGTACTTTGACAGGTACAACCCCAATTCCGAGAATGGCGAGGATGTCAGGCGCTCTCTGGCTGGCCTTGACTACTCGCCGCTCCCTCGGGTGACACTTCGCTCGTTGGCTATGGGCTGCTTGGTCTCCATGGGCGGTTTGATGTAAGTTGAACTCACAGAATGGCTGCACATATGCTGATGCATCATCCAGCTTTGGCTACGATACTGGCCAGGTCTCAGGCTTTTTGGAAATGCCAGACTTCCAAAGACGCTTTGCACAATCCCAGGGAGGTGGGAAGTATAAATTCAGCGATGTCAGGTCCGGGTTGATCGTCGCAATGGTATGGATGAGCGGCTCCTTGCCATGCTTTGAAACCCTCTACTAACGGATCTTCAGCTATCCATTGGAACGCTCATTGGGGCTTTGCTGGCTGCCCCACTAGCGGACAGGATTGGTCGTAGATTCTCGGTCAGCTTTTGGACCATCGTTGTCTCGGTCGGCTTTGTCATTCAGATCGCGTCTGTCGACGCATGGATCCAAGTTATGATCGGTCGACTGGTCACTGGCTTCGGAGTTGGAGCGCTGTCAGTTCTTGTCCCGATGTTCCAAGCCGAGACTGCTCCACCGTGGATTCGTGGCGCTCTCGTGTGCACCTACCAGCTCTTCATCACTCTCGGGATTTTCCTAGCCGCATGTTTCAACTACGGAACCTACAAAAGCCAACAGAACAATTCGGCATCTTGGAGGATTGTGATTGGCCTCGGCTGGTTATGGACCCTGATTCTGGGCTTGGGCGTGCTTGTATTCGATGAAACTCCGCGATATGCCTTCCGCCGAGGGAGAACCGAAGAAGCGAAACAAACTCTCATGAAGGTGTACGGTGCTCCTGCTAACCACTACGCCATCTACACGCAGATGGAGGAGATTGAGAGCAAATTCCGTGCCGAGGACCAGGTAAAAGGAAACCCTATCCACGAATTTGGAGTTATGCTTCGAGCACCAAGAATGGGGTAAGTATTAAGATCGGCAACTATGAGGAAATGCTTGGTTGACTCATTGACTACAGATATCGAATTGCCCTCGGTGTGATGCTACAAATGTTCCAGCAACTTACGGGAGCCAATTTCTTCTTTTACTACGGCACCACGATTTTCAAATCCGTCCAGATCAGCTCTTTCGTCACTCAAATGATTCTCAACGGTGTCAACTTTGGGGTCACCTTCATTGGTCTCTATCTCGTTGAACACTATGGGCGAAGGAAGTCTCTGATCGCTGGGAGTCTATGGATGTTCGCCTGTTTCATGATTTTTGCATCAGTCGGCCACTTCTCGTTGGACAACCAGGACCCATCCAGAACACCCAAGGCCGGCATCGCCATGATTGTCTTTGCATGTCTCTTCATTCTGGGCTTTGCTACGACATGGGGTCCTATGGTTTGGTGAGAAAAATTTGACGCATCTAATTGCCGTTGAGACCTGCTAACCATTTGTGACACAGGACGTTGATTGCCGAACTCTTCCCGTCACGGTATAGGGCTAAGGGGATGGCCATTGCAACCGCTAGCAATTGGACTTGGAATTTCCTCCTCGCATTCTTCACTCCATTTATCATCAGCGCGATTGATTTCCGTTATGGCTATGTGTTTGCCGGATGCAACTTGGCCGCAGGGCTGCTTGTGTACTTCTTCGTCATTGAAGGTCAAGGCCGAACGCTAGAGGAGATTGACACGATGTATATTGAACATGTGTCTCCTATGAAATCTTCCAAGTGGGAAGCACCCCCCGCGGCAGAGATGGCTCGAATCAGAAAGCAGGCGGGGACTGAAGTTGCTCCATCTGACGTGGAGTCAAGGGGCATTTACAGCGGAGAGACGGAAAGAGGGCTTGATGGTGAGAGGGAAGGCGAGAAGATCGGAGATATTAACCATGCCGAGAAGGTGTAGGCGTGGAAGCTACATGGTTTGTGGACTTGTACGTTTGCATTTGTACGAGAAGTAGCTTCTCAAGGGAAAGGTTGGAGTTCATGTTGCGTTGTTGAGAGCCAATCTTCCAAAAGCCACTTAATGCAGAAATTAGTCAACTACTTCGCCGTGGCTTACCATGGCTTTCGGCATTTCCTTGGTGCTTCACCCCATCCCTCAAGCGTTGAAAGGGATCTCCTACTGTGTTTCGCGCAGCGAATCTGCCCCAGGCGACAGGCAGACGCGGAGCGTATCAGACAGCCGCGCCGACCATGTATAAAATCTCTGTCTCTGAACCTTGCAATCAAAGTTTCCTATAGATGAGGGCCGAGCATTCACATAGCTTGCATCGGCTCATCGGCTTTGGGTAGGAGGTCAAGTGGTGGTCTGAGAGCCATCCCCATATTCTGGATGGTTCGCAAGGCTGCAGTGCCCCCCGGCGAGGCTGACTCCTCCATGAATACCATGATAATCCACTACCGAAAAACAGACCGGGCTCGTTATAATTAGCTACAAGCATAGGATTGGGCCTGCTGTGCATCGGCGATGTCAGGTATGACTTGGCCTGGTGAAGGGCCCCCGGGCGACTTAACCATTTAGTAGCTTCATGTAGTGCTCATCCAGACTACGCCACTTTTAAGCCAGTGCGTACTTGGGGTATGTACACTGATCGCGCCTCCAACCTCGGCGAAAAGGTTGACCCGCCAACAATTTCGATTTGGTCACAAAGGCCAATGGGGTATGGCCTACAAGGTCGTCGTCATGGCAGGTCGAATCCAGCTGCATTCTTGCTTCACCGCGGAGTCTAGAAAGGGGATCTCTGACTTTACCGCTGATTCTTTACCGCTCAGCAGCACTGGTAAAGTGCGTCTTTCTCAGAGGAAGAACCAGAGTTCCTCATTTCTGTGGTTGAGGCACGTGACCGTTTGGCTCACTGACGGCCTATTAATTTGACCTCCGGCAAGCCGTTTGGGTTCACATCACGACTCGGCTAATAAGTCAAACGTATGAGTAAAGCAACACTTCCCAACCGTCTCCTCATCGGGCCCCAACGGACACCCGTACATAGAAAGACTTTGACTCAGCTAAATTTCCCAGATCTTGTTAAGCACAACCATGAAAGGCCCTTTACCAATTCCTCGACAAAGGTCCTGGCCTCCTCGGACCATTGACAACCAACTGGGAATAGCAACGCTATCTCTGGGTAATTGGAGAGAGCATAAGCTTGGCCCTCGCCTCGAGGCGGCCGCCAAAGCTGGATACCAATGGATTGACCTGTTTGACGAATGCTGGGCAGCGTACTTGGAGGAGCACGGTCTGGATGGGGAGAAGCTGTGGGAGGCCACCACAGAGAATCTCCAGGTCGCTCGCAAGCTTGGGGAGCTGGTCAAATCCCTAGGAATGCAGATATCCTGCACCCAACCGCTTCGAAAGATCGAGGGGATCAAAGACCCGATAGAAAGGCGAGCCACTCTCGACCTGGTGGCGAAGCGATTTCCATTCATGCGAGCGTTTGACACTGATCTGGTGTTCATGTGTGCCAGCATCCGCTCAGATAGTGGGGTGACTTCGGATTTGAAAACGGTGGCCCAAGACCTGGCCGAGATGGGGGATATGGCCGCCGCATTTTCTCATACAGACGGCGGTCGAATGTTAAAGATCGGTTACGAGGGCCTTTCATGGGCCACGAGAAACACTTGGTCAGCGTCCTGGGAGGCTGTTCGTGCGGCGAACCGGCCGAACGTTGGTCTGGTGGTCGACGCTTTCAACGTTTTGGCTGTGGAATGGGCCGATCCCCCTAATCCGGCCGGGCATGGGCGCCTCTACGAAACCATCGAGGAGTCGATCACTCTGCTGTGCCTGTCACTCGCATCTCTCGTGGCGTCTGTCCCCGGCGACAGGATCTTCTTCTTTCAGGTGGGGGATGCCGAGCTGGTCGACCCGCGACGCCTTTACAAAGAGCCTCTGGACCCCGAGACCCCGGCATTGCTGCCTTGGTCTCGAGGCCATCGCCTTTTCCCATTCGAGACTGCCAGAGGCGGTTACATGCCGGTGGAGCTCGTTGCTGCCGCCGTCCTTGCAACAGGATATCGAGGACCTATGTCATTGGAAGTTTTCAATAACTCTCTTAACGTGGCGGGTGGGAACGTACCTCCAGAGCACGCAACCCGTGGTATGGTCGGGCTTCGAAAGGTTTTGGAGGCAGTGAAACAGGTGCCGCCGTTCTGGGACCCTTCACAAGAGGTATCGATCGAGGACTTGGTGCTACTATATCACTCCAATCGGCAGGTAAAGCCCAATATATAACCATGGTCAAGTCGCTGGAGGAAATCGTTCCGCCCTCTCAAGCTGGCCATAATTCCTCACCACCGCGGGATGGATATGTGTGACTAACAACATGTGGAACCTGGTTAAGTGACGAGTGATAACTATTGATTTTGCGGATCGAAAATACTTGACTCCTGAATGGACCCACTTACGGCACCTTCGATTTACTGAGATGTGTGTTCACAGATTCGCCGTGCTGCGAAGAACAACGCCGCCGCCGTATTCAATCTCATAATCTCGACCTTGTCTCCAGCCTACCCAGTCGTGGAGCAGAGTCTCACCCCCTTCGCCTGGCGCCAGAGTTCTGATCTCCCAGCCACCACCCGCGGGCTCTCTCGAGGGACTGTGAGACAAAGCGACCGCCGCCCGCTGTTGGTATCCCGACGTCTCTAGCTCCTGGTGCGACAACACTGGGAGGCAACACGCATCGGTCCCGTCAAAGATATCTTCCCACTCCTTACGCGTCTTACTCCGGAACCGCTCCCTCAGCACCGCCTTTAGTCGCGGCCACGTCAGGCGGTCCTCCCGTCTCCCACCCCACTCGCTGGACTCGCCGTCGTCGCCCAGCTGTAACTGGAGGCCCCGACACAAGGCGGCGAAGAACTGAGGCTCCAGCGCCGCCACCGACATGTATGTGCCCGGTTCCTTGCATTCGTAGACGTTGTAGTAGGGACAACCGCCGTCGACGAGATTCTCCCCGCGCGGTCGGTCCCACTGGCCCGGGATCTTCTGCGACAGCCGTGGTGCCGTCGCTAGGTACGAGACACCGTCGACCATATTCGCTTCGACAATTTGGCCCTTGCCTGTGCGGCTGCGGTGGATCAACGCCATCAGGATGCCCGTCACACACATGTGGCCGCCGCCAGCAAAGTCTGCCAGCAGATTCCCTGGCGGGCTGGGAGGAAGCGGTCGTCGCCGAGTTCCCCTGACGGCTTCAGGCACAGCGTCGTCGTCGTCGTCGTCGTTGTTTTGGTTGTTGGTATCCGTCGGACCCAGCATCGCCAGCACCCCAGATACGGCCAGGTAGTTGATATCGTGGCCCGCCATGGTCGCGTACTTGCCGTCCCTGCGAAACCCGGTCAACCGGGCCACGATGAGCCGCGGGTTCGTCTTTAGCAATACACTGTATGGATCCAGCCCCAGTTTCTCCAGCACGCCTGGTCGGAAGGGGTCGATCAGGACGTCCACGCCGCCGTTGCGGAGCAGTTGAAGTAATACTCGTCGTCCCGCCGCGGATTTCAGGTCCAGTTTGATGGATGATTTACCACGGACAAGGACGTCAGGACTCGGTGTTGCCGGCGGTGTTACCCGGTCTATGCGGAGGACGCTGGCGCCGTAGTCGGAGAGCATGAGTCCCGCAAATGGTCCCGGGGCGAGACCGGCGAGTTCAATGACTCGGATGCCGGAGAGACTGGACATTTCGTCCTGTGCATGCCTTCTCGACACCGCTTTTTTCTACCGCGGGGAATCTAGACGTGATATGGCGTTCGAGGTTGCTTTCGTATACAATTCTCTCTGTGCGTCTCCTCTCTCTTTCACTGCCTCTTTCTGAGGTGAACTGAAGGAGGTGGACAGACTCTCATTTAAGCACCGATACCAGGTCGAGGGGAGATGTTGTCATTCAATATTTGGGGGCAATGCCCGTTACTATAAAGATTCAGTTTCAATTAACCGAAGGCCCTCCGCGAATGCCGCCGGTTGCAGGCCCTGGGGAATTTCGGAATTATAAAATTCTCTAATTCCTAGTGCATGAGAAGAGAACCGAGAGGAAATCATTGAATCTCGAGATTTCCGCGTCTTTGATTACCATACCATCGGACCGAAGAACATGATTTGGCCAGTTTGAAAGGTTATTTGTAGAATCTTGATATATATATTTTTGTAACTCATGGGTGTCACAATCGGCTTATTAGGCCCTTTCCTGCGGCAGTAACACGATTCTCTCTCTCATCCAGGAGCCGAACCACACCCTCCTGCACACAACTCGCCAGCAGAGTGCCTTCTCTCGACCAGATCTTTTGCGTCGCTACGCCTCGACCATCGCCGGCCCAATGACTGGCCAACTCCATGAGCATCCATTCGTCGGCGCGGACGGCTTTCGGAGCATGGAAGAACATGGTGTGGCTCAAGGTGACCATCATTCCCACACGCGGCCGGGACTGATCTTCATTATCCTGGGGGTCAAAGGTAGACTGGCCCCTTTTCTGAACCGTCACATCTTCGTCCGAACCCGGAACTTGGAAATGCCGCATGGTTTCCTGCTGGTGTTGCGACGGGTCACGTCTCCCTATCTCAAATTCGGTAAGCGGCGGCTTGACAAAATCCCATATGCTGTGTACGTGAGGGACGGTGCCAATAAAATAGTTATCGCAAATGTAAGCTAGTGCCGCCAGATGTGTATGGACTCCGCGGCTGCTGCCGGAGGACGAGGATATCTTTTGACTGGCTTTGCTCCAATGATGGATACGTTTCTGGTGCGGGCATTGGGCGTCGGTATTAATAATGCCGACCTTGTTCGTCAGGTATGGAGGAAGTTCTGGCCTGCCAAAGGAGACGTTATTCCAGCCTGTCCTGCATTCTTGCTCAGATGTTGGCTCTGGTATGCCCCTCGGCATCAACTCAGCGTGCCGTATTTGTATCTGTTGTCTCGATGTTGTGTCGTTTCGGGTGAAATTGATGATCGCCGTGAAGATTATCTTCTCTCCCTTTTTTTGAACTACCTTGACCGTGCGTGTGGCGAATGATTTCCCGTCACTGACGCGCGAGACCTGATAGACAAGATGTTCATCGGCCCTTCCAGCCAAGACGAACTGTCCATGAAGGGAATGTACAAAGAAGTATGATGGCACCGTTGCCTGGGCGGCCTGGAGGCTCTGGGCAATGCAGATTCCACCGTATATGCCCTTGGCGCCTGGCGGGTGCCAGAGTGGTCCTGCATTGGTGAAGATATCACTGCTACCGTTCTTTGCAGGGGGGAGCCGTCGCACTTGTAGCACTTGTTCAATCAATGACCTCGATTTCAATCCAGCGGTATGAATGTTGTCACTGTCCTCCATGGAGAGTGGCCGGACTGGATTGGACCAGCGGTGCGGTCACTGGCACGTTGGTGAGGTTCGATAGACACCTTCCAAGCCAGCCTTCTATCGCACAATATCGAACAGAAAAGAGATTCCAGACATTCGTGGATGATGACATGGTCATATTTCAGCTTTTGACGACCAAAACAATCGAAACAGCAAGGATATTCTCTGTCTATCCTGAGTTAGGCGACCGAAGAAGTATTCGGAAATACGGAGGAAGCGGCTATCTCAGATTTCAAGCAGCCAACATCAGACAAGCTGTAGCTCCAGAGCTCACACCTAAAAGAGTGCGAGGTACTGGGTATCCGGTATCTAAATTTGGCCTCCGGCTTCCGGAGTTTGGGGGGTCGAGAGGGGTTGCCGAGGCTCGCTCGAAAAGGGGGAACGGAGGGGAACTTGGACATTACAATCGCAGTCGTTATCCACGCCAATCCAGGGTAGTAGTGCCTCTTCTTTTCCTTTCCGGAAGTCCTACTCGAAAAAAAATGGAACAGGGAGCTCTTGTAGCTCGAGGCGGGCCACAATCTGCATCACCAAAGCCCAAGACTCGGGGGAAGTATATTAGCAAGGCATGGTACATGCTTATTTCCACATCGTCTTTTTGTGGGCGTAGGCTCACGGCAATCTAGCATTCCATGTCGTCAGAGCAAGACCAAGGTACGTGAATGAATTTCCTTTATCTTCCCGCGCAGTGGGAGATCGGCCCATGAACACGTGCTGACACATTGTCGAAGTGTGCTGGAGGCACCGTTTGCGAAAACTGCCGCCGTCAAGACAAAATATGCACCTATCCTGCCCGTGCCAGAGTTCGGAAACCCAAAAGGGGTCCGGTTCCGGGGCTCGGCGCCTGTCCTACGACAGACAGGTCAGTCATTCTGCGTATCGGAGTCCTCTCGAAAATCCCACTGACATTTCCCTTGTTAATGGCAAGATTGCCCTTGACAGAGATCGTTGACATCGCCCCCGACGAGTCAATTAGTCACAATACTAGTTCAATGTTGGATCGTCTCAAAAGCCTTGAGCAACATGTCGATCGAATGGACAAGGCTTTGCACGCAGGCTCTGCTGCTCAACCTGACGACGCTGAAGCACCCCTGGATACTGAGATATTTGCCCCGTCTCCTCCTGATCACGCCCGTGCCGCCTCGTTGAGCTCTCACATCAATGCTTTGAAGAAGCTACTGCTCCCCGCTTTGCCTCTTACGCAACAGTTTCCACGCTCTGCTGAAAGAGATCGGCAATGCAGCGAGCAACTAGTAACAAAGCAATATCTCCGCAACTGTCCCTCCTTGACCCGGCTTAAATTCCTCGTCGGGTTATATTTTGAACACTTAAGCCCCTTCTTTCCATGTCTCGACGAAGGGGAATTCATGCAACGCTGGGAACAAATTGAGAATGATCTCACCCATGACGGCAACAGCCTCTGCCTCCTTGTGCGACCCTCATCACGGACGTTCCTGATGTCCATGTGCCTGGTCCTCGCTGTCGCCACATACCTTGACCCTTGCAGCCATGGAGAAGATCAACCGTCTACCCTACCGGGATGGAAATACGTTTTGATGGCCGAACACATTGCCGAGGGCGACCGTGGTCATTCCCCGTGGCTCTTGACACCCGACATGGATCTAATGCGTTATTATGTCCTGAAGGCCATGTACATGATCCATACCGAGAAGTTGACAGCGGCATCTCATGCCATCGGCACGGCTGTTCATTTAGCTTTCGCCTTGTCACTCAATGATGAATCAACCTGGAACGACTGTCGTTCCGAGGCAACGGCCGATGCGCGGAGACGGCTGTGGTGGACCCTGTTTTACATGGATCGCAGGATCGCCCAGAAATGTTGGAGGCCGTACCTCATCCGAGAGAGTGAGTTTCTGGTCGACGACTTCGCCAACACGACTGAAACAGCGGCATCAATCGGGACGGCGGACTGTGGCAACCACAGTGACACCAATTCCCACGTGCGGACGACAAATAGAGTCCTGACTTCCCAGTATGTCCAGACCAAGATCAACTGGGCTCGACTATGGGCACTGGTTTGGGATTCTCTGTTTGCCGTGCGGCCGACATCCACAGACCATGACAAGCAGGAAGAGATCGAAGTCTTGGATGCAAGGATCCTCCATTCCCAAAGACAAACTCATGAAAGTTTGTGCTGGGACACCTCCCTTCTCCCGAACTATCTGGCGGCTGGAGAGCCTGAGGCACAGGTCCGGGCAAGACTCGTAACATACGTGGTAAGCCTATTCTTCCCAGGAGACTCTGGTATATCTCATACCTTCTTTCGTTATGTTCAAATGGCTAAAAAAATCTGGGAATCGTACGGCCTATAGCGAATCAACCTGCTCCGTCTCTTGATCCGACAATCATGGAAACACACAACTGCAATCGACGCTCGAGAGTCTCGAGTATGCATTGAGCTTGCCAGTGATACCATCGAGGCTATTCTGGCCTACATGGCCTCAAGAACCAATCCAATTCCCTTTGGCCTAAATGCGGTGGAATGCGTGGTGGAGTGCATTTGCCATCTGGTGCCGCATGTCACTATTACCAGCAGCAGTAGACACTGGAGCAGCGGAGATGACGTGCCGATGTCCTCGCTGACGCGAGCGATTGAATTTCTCCAGAGCCTGTCCACAACTCTGGGGGCGGCGCGCAGAGCGTTAGATGCGCTTGGAGAGATCGTCGACAGGGGGTGGCTGGGGCTGTTTAGGTCAAACAGTGAGCCGGAACTTGACTATTACACGCTGCTCTTCCAAGGCACCGCAAAGGGCGGCGATGATAGTAGTGGTCCTGGGCCTTTTGACGAGCTTTTTTCACTTGAGTGGTCAGAGGCCTGTCGCTCTACCTTGGACAAGGGCTCATTCATCTAGATGAGGCAATGCAACGAGGCTGCTGCATCGAAATATAGTGCAATATATCTACAGCAGCTCCGGACCCGCTAAGTTTGGCTATCACTACGCTCTAAACTAGCCTTACTCCTCTCGCTTGAGCGACATACAAGATTTATTAGCAGTTGAGGGAGGAATCCGGCCTGGCTGGTTTACTCTATACTCCTCCGGATACGCCCCTTCCACAATTCCTCCTTCCCGCGCCTACACGGCTCCGGAATTAACCCCTTTTCTGGTTCGGAAATGTCTAATTCCGTCACCGGAGGCCGCTTTTACATCTGTACCTAGTACCCTTTGCTCGATGTGTTCTATGGAAAGGGAAAAGAATACAAGACATATCAAAATACTTATTGTATCTCGTAGATCGATTGAAGTTTCTTTGGCCAGCCAAAACACCGATCTGTCGAAGTTCCCATCATGGCCCCAATCACTTCACCCCTGAAGGTACACTTGCGGCGCGACCGCTCCATCACCCAATTCATGCTGGAAAATGTCTGTAACACGGATTCTGGCAAAGTAATTTGCGAGGACACTTTGTCCGACAAGCGTTTGACTTATGGAAGTGTGCGCGAGGATGCCTTCCGGGTGGCGGAATCCATGCGTACGGTGTATGGACTTCAACCCGGCGATGTGGTGTCTATTATCTCCAGAAGTTGTGTGAGTTCCCGAAACCTGCTCTCTCCAGACTCTCGGTTTGCTGAATCTTTGTGGGGTGGGTGGTTGAGAGAAATAGGTCGACTACATCCTTGCCACTCATGCGGTTTGGGCCGCTGGTGCCACAGTGAGGTGAGTTTCGACTCGCATCAAAGAGTGAATCCTGGTGATATAGGAGGCAATCTGAGTCTTGACACATAAAAATAGCACTATCAACCACTCAAACACGGCCAAAGACATTGCATTCGCCATCGGGATCGTGAAGCCCAAAATTATAATCGCTGATGCGGCCGTCAAGAAGAAAGTGGATGATGCCGTACAACGTGATCGGTCTCAGGTCTCGATCATGACTCTCCTGTCCCGCGTACCTGGCCACCATTTGGTATGCAACTCCTTGCGGATCTCCTCCGCTCTCTCCTCCCCGTTTTTATCTTTTGATTTTTGTCGCTAACTCTTACGATCGGTGATGTGATAGTTTCCAGATGATTTTCTTCTCCAGCCCGGTGCCAGGATCTCCCCCGAAGCGTACGTGCTTGATGGGCAAGACGCACACAAACGGTGTGCTGCCATCGTGCTGTCAAGCGGCACCACCGGTCTTCCCAAGGCCGTGATGCTCTCTCACTACAACCTGACAGCCATCTGCGAGATGCTTCGGCTCCATGACCGGGACAACTGGAGAGGAGACATGAGAGAGGTGTTCTTCCCGGTAAGCATTTTTGGACAGTTCCCATTCTTCTCATGACGTGCACAGTTGGCTAACCTGTTAACTTGATGAGTCTTCCAGCCCCGTACGTAACAGTGTCTGAGTGTCTGACCATGATGTTGCCTTTTGTCAGCGAATCGGTCTTACAAGATTTTTCTAGTTTCCCATATCTACGGAATGTACGTTTGCGCCCTGCTCGGGCCGTGGCTGGGATGCTACATCCAATTGATGCATGCATTTGACATGGGAACTTTCTGCCAGGTAAGTGGAAATTAATAGCCCCCAGCTGATTAGTAACTTCTCTCTGTACCTCATTCTGAATTTGTATGCTTATTGTTCTAGTTACTGCATACAAAGAAAGCCACATTGGCCAGGCTAGTTCCAACAGTAGCTCTAGCTCTGTCTGAGTCTCCTATCGTGTCAAAGTACAAATACCCGGACCTGGAATACTTTTCTTGTGCAGGAGCAGTGCTAAAGGTTGCTTCTTTTCATCTATCTCCTCTTCAATCTTAGGCCTCCAGGCGTCTTGACATAAAGCACAAAACAGAAAGACAAATTAATCAACGACAGTTGCTGACGGTTCGCATCTTACCATTAGCCCCACGTTGCCTCGAAACTCCGCGAGAGGTTTCCCGGCGTCAGCCTCTGTCAAAGTAAGTATATCTTAATCGCGCCAAGAGAAGATCAGCGCGAACAAAGAGGCGGGAACTGATTGCTTGTTTTACACGTTCATACGCCTTCAACGCTGACACACAATGGTATAGCGTACGGATGTACCGAGACGTCTTCATGCATCACCCAAAGTGGCGTTCGAGACCGGGATGCTCCACTAGTGGCAACGGGAACTCTAGTGGCCAACATGACGATTCGATTTGTCGATGACAGCCTTCAAGAAGTGGCCCCAGGCACGCCAGGAGAGATATGTGTCTCGTGTCCCACCATCATGATGTATAGTTAACCCCTTCCCCCTATCACGGAATACTATCAATTCAACTGCCATCAAGCAATATTCACTCCTTCAAGGAAGAGAGGTAGATGCAAATGAGCTGACGGCGCGAATTCCTCATGATTTTATGCAGGGGGTATAAGGACAACGAGAAGGCAACCCAAGAGAGCTTCCTAGAGCCCGGCTGGTACCGGACCGGCGATATTGGCTATTTGGATAAGAGTGGATATCTCATCATCGTCGACCGGATCAAGGATGTAATCAAGTACAAAGGGTACGTACAGTGCTTGTTTTTCTCCCCTTTCCGAACCTCTTTCCCTCCCACTTTCTATTCAGACTCCCCATGGTTCGCAACGAGAATTATAAAAACAGTGAGGTTTTTTTCCTTCTAATCCAAGTCTAATGTTTCTAATCCCCAGATTCCAAGTCTCTCCGAGCGAGCTCGAAGAAATCATCGGCCGCCACCCGCACGTCCACGATGTTGGGGTCGTCGCGACCTGGGCCGACTCCGAGGCCACCGAGCTCCCACGAGCATTTGTGGTCGCCGATCCCGGAGTGGCCGTGAGCGCGTACCCACGCCTCGCTGACGAGATCTGTAAGCTCGTCGCGGATCAGGTGGCCGGGTACAAGAGGTTGCGGGGCGGTGTGCGGTTCGTAGATAGCCTGCCAAGGAACCCGACCGGTAAGCTGTTGAGAAGACAGCTGAGAGATGAGCAGGAGAGGGGAGAGGGTGCTGGTGGTCAATTGAAGGGGAAGATATGATGTTGAAGAGTAAGGGAAGGGACTCTCTCAACCAGGATCTTCTTAGAGGATGCGCCTAGAGAGATATAAGCCAATTACATCAGAGTCAGATCCAGTCTTCTTTCGCATTCGCTGGAGGTCCTTTACAGAGTTGCTTCCCTTAGCACGGGCAGGGCATCTACGAGAACAAAACACAAAGATTGCCTCAAGGTACAAAAGCCGTTTGCTTCTTTTAGTCTAATTCTTTGCTGACAGATGTTTGTCGAGAAGACGTAGTCACTTTAGGGGACTGTGATTTAATCTAGACTCATATGGTGGTAGGAAAAGAGAGAACGAAAGCGGAGGCGGATTTCAAAGCACTGGCGGGAGAAATGACCAAAGCAGAAATTCATTCATCGTTGAACGACAAAGGACGTCACATCTGCCAGCTTTCATATCGGTTCCCATAAGAAAATTAAGTCCCCTTCCAGGGAACGAGCACGAGGGTGATGGATTTCAACCCCATCCTTAGCAAACAGGCAATTTCAGTTTCGGTTTTACATGACCAATCGTCGTGCCATGACTTTCTGGACTCTCCTAGAGAGCTCCGTACCTTGCTATGATGAACTCTCATTCTCTTTTTATTGTTTCAGCCAGAGTAACGGAAGTGCTTGTTCTTCAAATCGGTCTCATCTCTGTGTCAAAGTAGTTTGTCAGTATTCAGCATCTATCACCAGCCTGCGTAATCCAGGGAGAGTTGGTTCACGTACCTTAGACCGGACATCTCGTCCAGGTTCGCTTCACCAGTAGTATATGCCGGGTTCGTCAGAGCCTTCTTGTCACGGGCACGGTTGGCCAGTCTCATCATGAGCCATGTGGAGAAGGACAAGATAATGTAGATTGAAAGGAAGCTTGAGGACAAAAACAGGTCAGTTTTCTTCGTTATGATTCAGCGAATATGAAAGGAGAGAGGAAGATATCTATAATGCTCGATTCGGCAATACGTACCTTAGAACGAACGCAAGACCCGTGTGATATCGAGGGCTCTCCGAACCCAGGAAGGTCTGGGGCGTTATAATGTTGACCACACAGTAGAGGAAGAAGGCTGTCGAGGTAGAGATCTGTTTCCTGGTGAACCCGGCGGTGTTCGTGCCAATAACAGCCATGATGACGGTGTAGTTTGCTCCGGAGCAGGAAATGATGATTACCGAGGCCAGTCGTCGTCCTTGGTATTGTGTCTCAGCAGGGGTGACATAGAGGATAACAATGCCAATCAAAGCGATGACGCTGGCGATGGCCACCAAAGGTTGCTTAAAATTGCGAAATCGTGGCAACAGCGTCGGAGGAGCGGAGACTATCATTTGGGTTACAGCCTGGACAATTTTGTATGTCAGCAATAAGACAACAAAGACTAGGAGATCAGTGGTGTCTTCATAAAACATGGTACCTGTGGTCGCTGTCGCTTACCTGGACCGCAAAGTTCGGCGCCGTATACAGCTGTGCTTTCAACGCAGTGTAGCCAAATCCCTGAATCGAAGAAAGAACACACGTCAGCGGCTATGCTCCAGTCCCTACTTGCGATGGTCCTTTGGTTACCTTAATGATGATTCCAAGAAAGTTTGTGGTGACATTTCCCGCCGCCTGCGAAAAGAACATTTGCAGCACCATCATCCAGAAGCGGTAGTCGAGCACAGTCTCCTTCAATTGCTCCCATTTGAAATGAGCTAGAGTGTTTGGTAGCGTTAGAGTTAGTCCCATGATCTGCTTATGTTCTGCGGTTTACAACATGATGGGCGGTGTTCTTACTGTTCTTAACACCCAGTTGATCATCAACTAGGCGCTTGATAGCGATGGCCTTTTCTCTCTCGGTCAACCACTTGACCGACACAGGCGAGTCCGGCATGAAGAAGTACTGTTAGTAGTGGAATTTAGCGGAAAAATGCTCTGAATTGCGTCCAGAGATCCTTTACCAGTAGAACGCCAGTGATACAACTCAGCAAGCCCAAGAGCAGAAAGATTAGTCGCCAGCTCGTCTGGTGATAGAAGAAGTCGTGTCAGCATCAAACCGGCGACTAAGAATCCATTCTAACGTCTTCTTACCAAAGGGCCCGACTCAACATGTCCCAGACCTAGAAAAAGGGTCTCCATTAGTCGCTGAACAGATCTGGCTCAAAGTCCAGAATCGAAGGACCCTACCCCAGTAGATGATGAGAAAAGGAACTGGAAGAATGCCGTTGGTCACTGTCCACAAGCCAAATCGTAGGGACTGTTCCTGTTGCCGATACCACATCGTTGTGCTATTCGGACGAGTCAGTGTAAACTGTACTCACCCAACTTAAACAATAAAGCAAAAATGGGGTCTCACATGAGGAGGAGGCCAGGAACCAAGGACGATTCAAAAACCCTAGGATAATTGATGATCTCAGCAGGCTTCCGGCGATAGGAAGGACATGGGGATTTGCGTTATACCCTAGGAGAAAGCGGAGGCCCAGCAGCGTGGCATAGTTCTGCGCCCCAACACATCCCAACAGGGTGCCACCCCAGATGAAATATGCACAGCCGATGAATTTTCCCGCATGGAAGTACTGGAGACCGCGTCCGGAGACGAAGGAGCCAGCCAGGTAGCCAAAGTAGAAGATCTGGCCATCGCGGTGTTTAGAATGGGAATCCTGGATATTGACGAAGTATTGGCTATGCTGCTCACCGAAACACACCATGAATACTCTTGGCCCTTCAGGTTTAGATCTTCGCGCAGACCGTATGTTGCTGCTGCTCCCAGTCCAGACTGTGAGACAGGAGGAGGTGAGCGAACCGAACTCAACCCGTCACTTTGAGATGTCGAGGAGGAGCCCAACCTTATCGACAAATTGAAGACCACAAGCCCAAGCTGCCAGCGGGATGATGCGCCAATCGATCTTTCTCAAGACAGCGGATTTTTCTAGAGACCGATGCACTCAGTACGGTCCTTTTTTTCCTCTATTTTTTTTTTCAGGGGCCTGAGCCTCGGAATCCTCACCTTCCTCGGTATAGTGGGTATCTTCTTGAGCCTGCACGATACTGGCTCCAACGTCCAAGTCGTCGGCCGCGAGGGTAGTCACATGCCCTTTGCGTACTCCAGTCTCGTGGTCGACGGCCTCGACCTCTTGAGCATTGGTCGACTTCTCTGCGGCAGGATCCATTATCTGGAAACAAAGACGTATGGCCAAGGTGATCAATCAAAGACCATAGGATATCCAATTCAAATGTAGGATGCTGGGGAAGCAATTTAGGGAATGCCAAACGGACTCTGCAGCTCTATGGCTGAGGTTCATATATCTATATGTATCTTCAGGGGTTCGCATAAAAACAGGCTTAGGATTACAGAACGGTGGCTACTCGCGTCCGCCGAGTCCTGGCCGGCGTTTCAGATTTGAACAGCGGATGGATGGCTGGCTCTGTAGGGGAGGGTGCCCCGCGGATTTGAATAGTGAGGGGGGAGGGGTGGCAGACCGGGGAAATGTATACGAAGCATTCGATAACCTTTGTGAGACTTGGGGCCCCAATTCCGGGGCCGAGGAATTTGCAGGCCATGCGCAAGATGGAACATCAGCCGGAGTTGGCGCGTACGGATGGCTCCAATACTGAGACTGACGGCGCTGGGGATGGAACCGGTCGCTCGAAATCCGGTGCGTTTTTCTAGATGCCGGGTGGAGATCCTACTTGTTAGTTGTGCTGTAAAAGGCGACGAGTAGCTGAGCAAGAGTGAGGTAGAATTTGCCGGACAAAGCATAATCCTAGGGGGCAGGTTTCCCGACCCCCTTTGCTGTTTGCGCGCATGTCTTGGCACTCCAGCATTCTCTCATCTCAAAGTCTTCTGCCACTAGATAGATTTCCCTTCTGTATTCAATCAATCAAGTTATCAAGGACCTTTCGTCTGTCAGAATTCACAGCAGGTCAGCAAACGTATTAGCGGCTCCTCGGCACTGTCCATACTCTGTACAGTGCTGTATCTATCTATCGATCTCCCTCTTCAAGATCTAACGCTCTCTTGCAACGAGCGCTGTCCCAGGCTAGTTCCCACTTGGTCTCTGGTCTCGCTGTCTCTATAGATGAGCAACCGTAATCAAGTCCCTGTCTTGAGCTGCTGTCGATGGAAGTTTAGGCTCCTTCAAACTCAATTCCCGGGCAGCCGTCCGCGCGGCCCAGAATCCCGTCACAAAGGCAAGGGCTAGACCACCAGCATATCCCAGATTACTGAATCCACCGGCATCCACGCCAGCGACAAGCAGGCCTGGAATCGGCGTCTTATCGGCAGTCAACGCATGACCGTACTTGTCGATAGCGATCCCGCCATATGAAAACGTAATGCTGCACCTTGTTAGTTTCTCTAGGGATGTGGAATCACCAAACACTCACGATGGCTGAACTTCCATGGCATAGAATCCGCCTTCGCCGTCAAGGAGAGACTCTGGGGGGGGCCCTCCCTTTCCAATAGGCGCATCGAGAGCAACATCAGATTTGGCTTGTACAACGGCACGGTGATATTGCTCAATTGTGCGCCGGGCTTGAAAGCTGTCCACTCCCCAGTCTTGAAGAAGCCTCACCAACCCTTCCAATGTAGACGCACTACCGACATTGCATCCGTGTGCCCGAGCTTTTTCCAGGCGATCAACATCCCCCGCGTTCGGGAAGAGGGCTGAGACGCAATGTTTTCGTCTTGTTCGCTCACTGAGAGAACACTGACGGTGAGAAGATCGATCGGTGGCTGGCTGGTTGAGGATGAAGTGTGATTAACTTACTCGAACAAAAGGAAGCCACGACGCTTTTCTTGCCTTGCTAAATATTGATTGACGATTTCATCCCCAAGCGTTTCGTCCGCGAATCGTCGACCAGACTCATTGATAAGGATGCAATATCGGCTTTCTTTTCACTGCATCAGTCCGCGCCAATTGATAAGAGGAGTTAACCCCTTAGGGACTTACGATATTGTGCCAGCGGAAGGTAGTCGCGTGGATCGACATCTTCACATCGAAGCGGGGCGGCCAGCAAATGTCCGTAGTACGTCCCCATACCACGGCTGGTGCTTGCTCCAACGGACGAAGCCACATTCAGGCCATCCCCCACAGATCCCCTGTTCGAGCGGACGAAGATATTGTCCGCTCCGGGTCCGAAATGCTTTGACGTCAGATCGGGCGATCCTTGGAATCCACCAGTGGCTAAGACCACTCGTTTGGCCCTCACCTCAACATACGTGGCCGTCGAGGATCGGGGGTCCGACCTCCGCAGAAAGGCTCCGATGACCTGGGAACCGGGGACACCAGGTTCTTCTTGAGACAACTTCACCACCTGTGTGTTTGTGAGGATTTCAGAGCCTGTCCCACTATTTTTGATACGTGATTGGTGCAGATCAAGAAGATATGGGATCTTGATGGGATACCCGATGCCTAACCTCGATTAGCAAAAAGCCCCGACCTCGTCCGCCATGTCACGAACCTATTGTCATGATAGGCCCGAACCGGTCCAACGTGGGCACGCCCATTTCCCTCATCCATTGAACAGCAGGCAAATAGTCAGACAGCCAGGAACGCTGGAGGTCTGGATCCCCATCCGGTACCCAAGATCTCAGGCTGTCGTAATTTCGAGGACCCCAGCTGGTGCGTGTTAGCAAGGATTATCGAGTGCTAGAGGACACCGGAGTAGCACATACAACATGCCAGCAGAATAGACTGAAGAGCCACCAAGATGAGGCTGCTTCTCGACAACGAGAACCTTTGCTCCAGCCTCGGCTAGGAACGCAGCGCACGCCAACCCGGACATGCCGCCTCCGCAAACAAGGACATCAACCACGACCATCTCCATGTTGTGCATATTTATTCGACCACGTCAAGTTTGATTTGTTTGACAGGGAAAGCGACGTGACCTATCTCACAGAATATAGTACATCAAATTTCATTCCCACGGCACACGGACTTTTGTAGGTACACGCTATCCACACCGTGGGAGGCCGAGGAGTCCAGCCTCAATCTCCGGCCTGTTTATCTGAGACCCGGGTGGCGGATTCTTTCCCAAACCGCACTCTCACTGTCACGCAAAAGGCGACTGGCGCGTATATGCGACGCGAAAGAGTCCCTCATAGATTGCAATGATCGATCAGCAGACAAAAGATGGTAGTACCAGCAGAAGACATCTTTTACTGGGTCTCCGAAGCGCCAAGTCCAAATTGCGAAAGCCAAACGTTGCCATGTCAAGGTCTCGATGGAGGTTTTCAGAAGGCGACGTGACCGCAATACATTAAGACTCGATGGGGGCTAAGAAGTAGCCAGCAAAGCGAAGGAGAACAAGAGACACTTTCAGGTTCCCAGAGTTTGTTCAGATCGGAGTTAATATTGTACCGCGATCGGTGTTCCCCTTTTTGTCATATTTAGAGCGCAGTGCGTAGTGCCTCCGCTTCCGCAACGACGACAGTCATACTCTCTTGGAGCTGTAATTATGTAGGCGATATCGTCCCCTAAATGCCCCCCTGGCGCGCCGCGAACACCAAAGCTTCTTCTTACACAACCACCTCAGTTCATAGTTTCGCGCCTAATGAAGCTGACCGTCAGCACTACTGCCGGCTTCACCATGACCTGGAGACAACCGCAATTGCCACACTCACCTTCAGCTGGAGCCCTTAGGCCGCACTGAGCGGAGACTTGACGCCAGGAAGCTATTCCCCGCCGTGCCCACTGATCCGGTATTCTTGTCAATCGATTCTAGTGTCAGTCGGATCGGAACAGCGAGGCAAAAGAGGGAATAGAGCACTCACGAGCGATCTTGTTTCCACAGGTCTGTGTGGAATACTTCCATGGAAACCCACCCTCGATACCCCAGGTCGAAGACTGCCCTGGCTACCTCCACTACGGGAAGCGTACCTCCATACTGCGGCTCACAGGGAAATATTCGACAATTCCTTGATTGCGTCATGAATGGCGGCTGACCAAGATCGCGTCGTGGGTACCCAGTCTGATCCGGATCGGCTACAGTGGCGTCGCTCAGCTGAAAATATCCAATGTCGCTGGCCGTCACGGTGTGGCGCATCTCAGCCAGACTCTCCTCTAATCTGCGCCGTCCGTCTACTCGAATCGGGGCAGCCTTGTTGAAGGGATCTCCAGCTTCTCTGGCCGCGATATGGAAAGTATCCAGACAGAGACGGACATTGGGAAGTCCGACTAGGGCGACGATGTCTCGAGTTTGCTGCCAGGTGTCGATATGGATCCCCCACGCAGTCGCTTCATAGGCGACTATCTTGTTGTACTCCTTGGCCAGGAGACCTAGCCTCCGGATGTTCTTCGCTATGTCATGAGCGTCAGATGTCAGGGGTTTCTGCAAAGGGTAAATGCAGGAGCACATCTAGAGAATGGAGTCAACTGAGGTACTCCGGAACCAAATGAAGGATATGCGCGCGCACTTGGAGTATCGGAGCGCCGAGGATCTCGCAAAGTTGCAGCCAGAGATCAGCTTCGCGCAGGCGTGACTCAATGTCCCCTTGGTCTCTCAGTCCATCATATGCGCCGAAGGGATTCAAGGCAATGATTTCCAACGATAGAGCCGATGCCTTGCTTTCTATGTCCTTAGCCGCAAGCCGCAGTCTCCCTTCCCGGCTGTCCTTTTCGGCAAACTGTGACGTGGAAGCATGAGTCTCGAGGCATTCAAATGCCAATTCGACCCCATCAAAGCCATGTGCGTGGGCAGCAACGAGTTTCGAATAGATGTCGTGACCTGCGACCGACTTTCCCAGTGCATTGGTGGCAATCGCAACACGTACCGTATCTGGCACCATGATGGTGATGATGATAAAGTAGATGATGTCCAAGATGTATCATTCGTTCCTAGTGCAATAATATTGTCTTGATACGTTGAACCGTCACGGTGCTTTACCGGGTCCTAAATTAAACGGCCGGGAAACCCCCTTTTTGACCACAAAGGTGCCTAAAACGCCTTTGTTGTCGACCATATTACTGTCATTTGTGGTCTTTCTGGATGTTGGGGTGACATCACACGGATACAGGAAACAATGACGATGTCGATAGACGAGAATCAGGCTACTTCTCCCAATGTCCACTCCGGCTCACGTGTTGTGATTGTCACCGGTAACACAGTGCTTTCTTCCAAAAAGACAGAAGCTGATTGTGTGGATTGCCACAACCGCAGGCGGCGCAGATGGCTTCGGGGCAGCCATTGTTGATCGATTCAGCAGGGAAGGCTACCAGGTGATTTTCATCGATCTGAATAGAGACAAGGGTGAGAAGAAGGTCCAGAAAAACACCAGCCTCCGCTTCATCTGCGGCGATGTGACCTGCCGCGAGACTTGGGAAGAGGCCCTCCGCTGCGCGAGAGAATCATTTGGTAGAGTTGATATTGTCGTCAATAACGCCGGTGAGTGGAGATTGGGAGAGGGAGGCTGTGGTCGCCTGTCCGAACAAGGTCTAACTTCTTGGGTGTCAGGCATCACATACAGCCCATCAGTATGAGCAGACATGGTCCTATTTTCCGGTTTCCCACATACAGGGTTGACATATCTCGTCTAGCCCGTGCACACCAAGCCCATTGAACAGTACGACAAGATCTTCAATATAAATCTCAAGGTACGGCAGCCTCAACAGGACTTGTGTCAAGCCTAACCGATGGTCAATTTGCAGCCTGTATTCCTGAGTGCCCAAGTGATCTGTCCATTCATGCTTGAGCAGGGAAGCGGGGCTTTCATCAATATCACGAGGTACGTTCTGTCACCAGATGATGAAGACATCTGGACGGAGGGAGCCACTCACCATATGGGGCCTCCAGCACGGGTTGTACCCGGCCTCGACCAGGATTCGCCTTCTATAACGCTTCGAAGGCCGCAGTTAATGTGAGTGTTTGACAACAAAACACACTTCTAGTTTGTGCTAACAAAGGTCACAAGATTGCATCCAAAACAATGGCCCTCGAGTACGCTCCCACCATTCGATTCAACTGCATTTGTCCGGCCGTGGGAAACACGTCTATGTGAGCTCCCTAGCCTTTCTCTCTAGCGTTTCCAATAAGTCCTGACCTGAGAACGCACTCCAGGCTCCAAGCGAGCATTGGGGATGGAACAGAAGCACAGGCAAAATTGCGCCAACTAGAAGAGATGTTGCCAATGGGGAGGGTGACGGAGCCGGAAGACATTGCCAATGCAGCATGGTTCTTAGGGTCGGATCAAAGTTCGTTCATCACAGGTACCACGATCGAGGTAGATGGTGGTCGAGGAGTGTAGATCAAGTTTGTCTTTCTTCTGGGTTACTAGAGTGTACCTTCGAGAGGGATTTTGTACTCTGTCAACGAGGAGAAACAATTTCCAAGCGGTGTCAGTGGGCCCTGCACATGGTTTCCCGTTAGTGTATCACTAGCAAGAAGAGCAGGAGCTCTACCCAGTAGTGAGAGGAAATTGGCCTAGTGGCCCCGAACTGATACAGTAGGTAGCTTCCCAGGTGCCGGTCCCCTGGGGTCACACCCGAAAAGCTTGTCGCAGGGGATTTCGATGCGTGCATAGACCCCCAAGGACCTCTAGAACGCCTTCCGGGGCCCCGCCAACTCCCATCTCTCTCAAACTCCCGCGGCCCGAGCACCAATTGTGAAGAATAGAGAGATTCTTTCTTGGTCAATCTTTCTCACCTTTCTCCTCTCTCCACCTCCATCCCCGAGTTCGCTACCGCCAGAAACCATAGAATGAGCCTTGGATGTTTCCCTTTGTCCGAACTGATACCGCCGTGTTCACATCTCAATTATCACCTTGGCCCGTGTGCCGTATGTCGAGCTGACTGCGTAAGCTGAATTCCCAACCAACAACCCAGGTGCCCTTCCAACATGGTCGCCGCGTGCGAGGCATGTCGAAGCCTGAAGGTACGTAACGCCACATCTCCTGCCCTTGAAGTTGAGTCCTGACTTGGCCCGACACAGATGCGTTGTTCGAGGTCGACATTGCCAGAGGGGTCGACCGACACGCAGGGCCCATGCGACAGATGCAAACACCATCGTCGTCCATGTAAGGTGCCGACTCCTCGTCCCTCGGGACGAAAGCCAGGGTCTCGGGGACGTTATCACGGTGTTGAGAAGGCTTTGCGCAAGATCCAGAGCGAGCTGAGGAAAGCAAAGACATCGACGACCTCGTCAGATTGGCCTGACCAGGCAAATCTCCTCGGACTTTTAGGCCTTCCTGAAGGCAAAGAAGAAATTTTGCACCTCATGCTGTCAAGGAATGGCAATCAGAGTCACTCTGAACCACAGAGCGATGTTCCCGTGGCCCTTCATGATCCCGAGGAGGGAATCGCCCCGATGGTGTCCGGAATGCCTGTAACCAGCACAACATATCCTCACGAACCTCCTCGGTTGGACGCCATGAGCACCTCTCAGAGCCCGCCCGGAAATGCACCAACCGATGATACGAGCGCATCGGTCAGCAATCCTCTGGGCCTAGTAGCTGACGCATGCGGAGAGACTCAGGACTTCGATCAGCAACCAAACGACAGCATTCCGTCTCTTGCATCCGACCCGGGATCCAGTTTCATCGCAACATCTGGCGAAACCGAGCCCCGAACTCTGCCCCGATATCTCTTGAGGCGCCCTGGTTATGTTTCCCTAGGCCTAAAGCTCAATCGGAAGACGCTAGAAGATGGTCTGGATGCCCTGTTCTCCCGGACTGCTCCCGTTTGCAAGTACTCAGACTATTTCAAACCTTCTGATGTGGCCAAGAATCGGGATACGGGACCAGACTTAGACCCAGTTGAGTTGGGTTTGGTCTCTGTGGAAGAAGTCAATTACCTCTTCCCTCTGTATGTGGCTTCTAACTCTGGAGTGATTATCTGTACCCAGATGGTGGGCTGACTGATTGACTGACTGAACTTCCCTAGGTTTTTTGAGAGATTGCATCCCATCAACGGTATCCTCGATCCTCTGTTGCACACTCCAGAATTTGTGCAATCTCGGTCTGCCCTGTTATTCACCTGGATCTTGGCCATCTCAGCACAGTTCGATCATCACTCAGGGTCTATTTCCAAACGGCTACGCATTCACGGCGAACACTTGTCGAAACAAGTGTACGCCAATGGATATAAGTCCGTCGAAATTGCACAAGGCTACTATATTTCACTGCTCTCTGCGGCTCCTGCTAACACCATGGCCGAAGAACGATCATGGCTGTATACCATTTACGCCTTTGGCGTAGCAGCAGAACTGGGCCTGGATCGCGGAACCCGAGCCCATAGACACTTCAACCACATCGCCGGAATGGAGACGAATTATCAAGCCTTGTCGCATCATGATTCGGCGGTTGAAGCGTTCGATGGCAGAAACGACCCTCATCATCAACAAGGGGACTGTCCCCAAGATGCAGATGCGCTCTATGCGGAAAGACTGGCACGCAACCGAGAGCGGACATGGCTACGAATTCTACTCTGGGAGCGAGCGCACAGTGCCGCCCGCGGCCGCGTCAGCGCATTCCCGGAAACGGAACTGACCGGGAAGATCGAGACCTGGCACCTTCACCCATTGGCTAACCCTATGGACAAGTATACATGTGCATTTATCCTACTGCGTCGACACCTTGGCACGCTCCAGAATGAACTCAAACGACAGATAGGCTGCCAGCACGCCTCTCGGCACTGGGTGAGAGAGCTTCTAGATTCCACATTGGAGCCCTGGTGTCGCACGTGGCTCGAGACCCCCGATGTACCGGCGTCGCCTTCCTCTCCGCACGTATCCAACACCTTCCTTCGCTTTGTGTATATGCATGGAAGACTGTGGACCTTGTCGTTAGCCCTTCATGGAATTGTCGAAGGAGGTCAGGACGCGGCAGCGATCAAAGCCGACTGCTTCGAAGCCGCGGTCAATTGCTGCGAGATGGCGGTACATGACCTGCTCGAGATCGGCGAACCCATATATTGCATGCTGGCCCCGACGTGGGCAATGATCTCCTACTCGGCCGTTCTAGCACTACGACTCTTTCCGCTCTTGTACGGCGGTAAGCAATCAGGCAATGAAGTCGAACTTCTCTCCCTTCTATCCCAGGTCGCGCTTCAACTTGAGCGGGCCGGCACCACCCCATCTCACCGCTTCGGAATCGCAGCCCTCCTCGGGCAGCATCTGTTTAAGATCCTGCGGACCAGGGCGAATGTGTTGATCCGAGTGGCCCAAGTCCGTCCCTCTCATTCACTGGCTGCGCCGAGTCCTGGGTTCGAAGGCCAGGGGCTCAGCCATCAGAACTCTCAATCCGATGCACAACTTTTCGACCCGCTTCTCTCGAACTCGGATCCATTCCTCACTCTACCTTTCCTGCCTGGAGGCGATGAAGACGATGACTCTGTTGAGGGCTTCCCGGACGTCCTTTGGGACTGGGTTGGCCATGGTTTTGTCGGCATAGGATGAGAAAGATGAAGATTGGGAACAAAAGATTTGATTAATTCTCGCGGTCATCCTTCGTGCTAGCGAGATACACGGTTTGATGACTGCTTTGGCAACCTGAACAGGATTTGGTTCACCCATCCTTTGAGCAAGGAGCTTTCGAATTTCCTGTGATTCTCTCTACAATTTGCTCAACCTGACTTCACCTTTGATGGCTTTGGTGACAAAGAACGGGTCTTCCCTCAACGTCCTACCGAGTCCGATCATATCAACGTCGCCGTTTTCCACAGCTTCGGCCATACGATGGCTGTCGCGCCAGCCGCCTGTAGTGCCGATGACGGCGCGCGACAGAACCTTCTTCAACTCTTGCGCCCACTCAACGAAATAACTACCCCGGGCTTTCTGCGAGGGCCGGTCGGCCAACTCTGTCATGATGTTTCCGCGCCAGGCTGGCGACTCATACGTACCACCCGAGATGTCAAAGAAGTCAACCCCGGCCTCCTCGAGCCATTTGATCACCACACATTGCTCGGCGAAGGATTGGCCGCCTTGGATGACTGTACAAGACACATTAGACCTAAAAAGAAGTTGGGAGTTCGGGGAGAAGCGACAAGTAGAGTTCGTGCAATTGCCAAAGAAACTTTGCTCGAAATGACGAAATCTCGAAATGTTCAGGAGCATACTCACAATCTTGGCAGTTGAACTTGACAGCGATAACAAATTGATCTGACGGCAACTTTGCTTTTATGGCATTGACGATCTCCAGGATAAATCGCGCGCGATTTTCAAGACTCCCTCCGTACTATTAATATATACCCGCAGCAAGGGTTAGCCTTCCTGCAACCTTGATATGTCGGGGTATGATCCAGAACAAAATATTATTACGCTGGAAAAGGAACAGGAAGGGAAGGGAGGGAAAATCAGATCATTTGACAAACTAACACCGACACGCGCACGCGCACTTACCTCATCTGTCCGCCGGTTGGTCAAAGGCGAGAGAAATTGATTCAGAATATATCCATGTGCACCGTGGAGCTGGGTCAAAGACGATCAGTATTTGTGGATAACGCCTCCCTTGGCCACAGAGAGCAAGGACCAGCTTTTGAATTTTCTGAACAAACAAGTGGGTGATGACTGACAATGATCCCATCGGCACCAGCTTGTGCCAGCACGTCAGCTGCCCAGACATAGCGGCCGACGAGCTCCGCGATCTCGGCCTTGGTCAGAGCGACAGGCTTTCCGTAGGTCTTGTTCAGACATGGGCCGAGCTGCACGTCGGATGCGGACTTGGGCCGCGGGTTCAGAAACTCGGGCACCTGCCGGCCTGGGAATTGCAGCTGGGGGAGACACAGGGCGCCACGAGACCGGGCGGCGCGGATGGCAGGGGCGAATGCCGCGACGGGGTCCCAGGGGTTGCGCGGGTCGAGGACCGCATTGTTGTAATTTTCCAGGTTCTCGCGGTCGATTGGAATGTTTCCAAAGCAGATTAGTCCCGCGCCACCGTCAGCGAGTTCTGTGGATGAATTAAACAAAGGGACCTTAGTATTTGGAAATAGCAATAATGATGGATATGCTTGGAAAATTGGGGGGTGTATATGCTCGCTGTTGGTAGAGACTAACCTTGATATAATTCGGTGTATCTAGGCTTCGGGATGCCCGTCTTCTCAATATCCTTCTCATCGTACGTCGACGCGTACTCGCTGAGAGGCGTCCGATATATTCGGTTCTTGATGACCTTGCCTGAAAGTTTCAGAGTGATGGGCTACGCATGTCAGCGGCACGTCCAGGAGTAGGTGTAAATGTACATGAAAGATCGTATGCCTGTATGCGCGTCCGTCCGTCCCCCCTCCATCCAGGATAGTGAAAATAAGTGATTTTTCTGGCAATATAAATGCAATACATACCTGTGCTAAGGCTGATAGAGACATGGCCAGAGGAGGAGTTGGGCTGGGCTTTAGCTCAAGATCAACCGACTGGGCAAACTTCAATGAAAGTGGCGAAAGTTAAGCGAGGATGGATGGCTCTGGTGGCGAGCAAAATTAGGAACTCGACTCTCCTTTCCCCCTTTCACGCACGCTGTGTGTCCGTCTTGGATCCTTATATTGGCTGCGACCGGGGGGGCCAAATCATGGCGGGCAGAGCCGGGCACGTAGAAGTCGGAATTCTGGAATTACAAATGCGTCTTCTCGCACAGAGATACCTGGGAGGATCTTCGTTTTTCCGCTCGCACCACTCGTGGAAGTCCAAAGGCCAGTTACGACTCCGTCTTCATCGTCGCTGGTAAAATGTGGAGAAGTGTTTGGGGTGGAGCTGAGGAAGTGGCGGGGTCGGTGCTCAAATCTGGACGCCGGTGCAACAAAAAGGAACATGCCCGCATCTAGCCGAATCTTGGCACGGCGGAGGCTCATCAGGCTGCTTTAATGTACATTGCTTGGAAGGGGTGGAGATGTGCATACTAACCATCGACTCCGTGATTAAGGTACATGCTAGGTGTCTTGGTGACTGATATCTGTTTCCTCTACAAGGAGACAACTTTCCCCTTCCTCTTCTTCCTTCTCCTGAAGTGATGTAGCACCTGGGAGCCGACACGGAGAGGAGGCGCAAGCGCAGAGTTGACGGATGTCCTCGAAGCTGTGCGTCCCGTGGATTCATCCAACCTGCCCCAGGATATCTCGTGTTAAGGATGCATCGGATGCATGTATCTGATGCAACAGGCATACAGTCATGCGCATCGAACCCCCTCCAGGAATTCAAAGACGAGATGTTCGCTGCATGAAATGCAAGGCCTGACGGACACCACACGACTCAGGTTCTCGTTCGAGCCAGAGAGTCTGTTGTGCAACTCCCACACGGACCAAGACTTCGGTCCCCAGCATAATAGCCCAGCCGCACTGCTCTGCTAGTTTTAACAGTCTGGTTCGTGCCGGCTGGTAGCACATGTCCAATACAGCTCCTTTGCCACCACCATCTCTGCTGCGCAGAAAGGCCTCGCAGATTTGCCATGACAAGAGCTCGCCCGCCTCGCGAGGCTCGTGATCCGGGACAGTTCCAATCACAATCCCCGGGGCCGGCAGTCGCTGTGCTTCGGCCACACTGTCGACATAGCGCACCTTGATGCCAGGGATGGATTTCTGAATCCCTCTAATAAGGTCAGCAGCTTCTGATTGTAGCCGGTTCGTCAGATAGATCTCACACGGCTGGAACCACGTCCAGAGGGCGAAAAGGGCACTCCGAGCGGCCCCACCCGCGCCGATGACCAGTGCAGATTGACCATACGCACTGTCGCGGATAGCGGGAGAATTGTGCAGCAAGGTCTCCCGAATGCCGACACAGTCTGTGTTCGTCCCAATGTATCGGCGTCGTCCTTGCTTGTCCAACCGGATGAAGACGGTGTTCACGGCCCCGATGGCCTGGGCCTCTTCTGTGAGGTCATCCAACGCCGCCATGAACGTGACCTTGTTGGGCATGGTGACCGACGCCCCGATACAGTCGGGTTGATGCAAAACATCCAAGAAGCGTTGAGGGTCGGTTGTCTCGCAGAGCTCGTAGGTCCATGAGGCGCCGGCGGAAGCGAACAATCTCGAATTGATGGCTGGCGAGTGAGAATGCGAGATCCGACCACCGAACAGATACGTGCGAAGTCTTTTAGATTTCGAGTCCGGTGTGAGAGGTGATCTTCCATAGACATAGGATTGATCCAGCATGTTCATCTGGTCGTGAGATGTAATTGCAGCCGAATCCATGTAAGCGCTGTGCCGGAGGGGGGGTCTTGGAGAATATGCGGCAAATTTCTGCGGACACTGCTTTTCCACAGATCTGCGGGGTAAAGCCCTATATGATATTCTGTTCTGTGTAAATCGATGTTAACCAGTGTTCATTTTCGAAGATCGGCCACATGCATCCCAATGGTGATATCAATACCCGAAAAGACGGATCATCCGAGCGACGGGATGGCGGTTATCACACAAAGCCCGGTGATCAATTTAATAGACCGGAAAAAGGAAACCAGGGCCGGAACAAGCGATTCCATCGCAAGCCACTGAAAAGCAGAAGAGATGAAGAAAGGCGAGACATTAATAGATCTAGGCGGTGGGAACGAGTAGCTTGCGTACCTACCAAATCCTCATATCCGCCTAAACTGTCTCTTACCAAGAAATGCCCGGTACATCGAAAGTTCGAGTCGCACTCGTTGGAGGCGGAACGATTGCTCCATTGCATGCAAAATATCTCCTCGCTTCGCCGTCGTGCGAGCTTGTTGCTATCATTGATCCGTTTCCCCCGGGTAAAACTCTGGCCGACAGTTTGAAAGTGGCCCATTATCACAATGTGGTGGATTTGGTTTCGTCACCCTCCACGAAGCTGCCAGCTGTTGAGCTATACATCATCTGCGTACCTTCAGCTCTGCACGTCCAAGTCGCCACCGAGATATTGAAGACGGCCAAGCCCAAGGCCATCTTGGTGGAGAAGCCATTTGCCACGGAATCGGCGTCTGGGGAACAACTACTTGCGTTGGCGAATGCCCAAGGATGTAAGGTCGCAGTAGGCCATCACCGACGGTTTCACGCTGCCATCGGCGCTGCCAAACAGGTCATCTTGTCCGGAAAGTTGGGTCGGCTTATCGCCATCTCGGGTGTCTGGACTTGTAAGAAGAATGAAGGATACTTCACTGCTGCTCAATGGAGAGGGTCTCGGGCCGCCGGAGGTGGGCCAGTGTGGACAAACTTCGTCCACGACATCGACGTGATGCACTATCTTGTTGGCTCCAGGGTCACGCGCGTGTGGGTTACCAGCACGCTGACTCAACGACAACATGCGGGGGTGAGTGACGGTGATCAAGTGGAGGAAGGGGCGGCAATGATGTTCCGATTTGCGAATGGTGTTGTGGGCACCTTTGTTATCAGCGACAATGTATCTAGCCCGTATGGGTGGGAGTCGGCAACTGGTGACAACCCGCTCTACTCGCAGGCTGAGACAGCGGTGGATTGCTATCGTATCTTCGGCAGCCAGGGGACCATAACGGTCCCTGACGGAAACCTATGGACATATCGACAGGAAGAAGCGGACCATAGAAATCTGGAGATTGGATGGAACATTCCCATGAGCCACGAGACCCTGGAGACCATGGATCTCATTCCTTTCCAACAACAGACGGAACATCTTGCCCGGCTGGTGGCGGGCAAAGAAGAGCCAGTCTGTTCTGGAGAAGACGGCCTCGCCGCTGTCAAGGTGTGCGAAGCTGTCGTCGGGGCTTTAAAGCGCAACGACGGGCAGCCAATTGAGATTTGAGCTTCCTGATGCATTAGGAGTGTGTCAGTTCGTCCTCTGTACGTGGCACTCCGCAGTTTTGCCCATACCTGACCGTAGAAGAGAAAAGGAGTTGGTGTTGGACAAAGCCGTAGCCTCTAGGGAAGGTTACCCGATCACGTTTTGCGGTTTGTGCGAACTTCTTGGCACTGCAAAATTCTCCATGTAAAGGTCCATAGCCACTAAATAGGTTTCTCTTCTGCAATCAATTCATTCAAGTTACTCTCGACCTCTCCCTGTTCGTCATGTAGCTCTTTCATTTGTCTGCAACAGGGCGTTCTTTTGATTGAAGAGATCTGTTTGAGCATCATTTGGGCTTTAGAGTGTTTCGTTGCGGTACACTCCTCGAATCAACGTTCCAGGAGCATTTGAAAGAATTTGTGGACTTCCGTTGTCCTCTTTGGGGCAAAGCCTGTTCCTCTCCCACCGAGAACTTGGACTCCTAAACTTTCTGCCACTGGGTCCCTGCATCATCAGATTGGATTCGATTTCGAAAGCATCTTCGCAACCCCAAAGCAAAAGCTACTACGTTGCTGCATCCCCTGCACCTGCATCTCCCGGACCTGCGCCTCCTGGACCTGCAGCCGCCCCCGCCGCCGCCGCTGCCAGGTCGGGATCCGGGTAGAACGACCCTCTCCCTGTCGGGTTCGTCTCTTGAACGGGTTGCGGAGGAAACGGGTGGGGAAGCCCTGGTACCACGGGTGGCGGTGCGCCTTGCTGGTTAGGAAAATCATGAAGTGGTCGGTTACCGGTCTCCCCGGGTACACGTGGCGCAACGGAACTGCTTGCCCCCCCTGGATATAAGTGAGTCGTGCCATCTGGATTTATGTCCGGATCTACCTCGAATGTCGCATGTTCTCCCCGAGGATCCACAGATGTATGAAACCCATCGGTCGTTCTGATTGGCAACTGTCCAGTGGATGCGCCGTATCCGCTCGATCCTACTTGAAGTGGACCGGAAGCGTGCCTTAGAGCATCGTTGACCCTGTTTCTCCCATCCTCATCCCTTAAGGTATCAAATTGATTGTGTACAGGAGGCTGTAAAGGTTCTTCTGGATTGAAAGAGCGCGTCGGCGCCCCGTGAAAGTCGCCTGCTGGCCCTCTTATCTCGGGGTGACTTCCGGCCGCCGAGTCAGTCGGTCCCGTCCCTAGAGGTGGAGGTGGCCGAGCAAGCTCTGCCTTCTGCGCCGGGGTTAGCCTTATCCCTGGCACGTCTGCTAGCCCCGACCCGAAGAAAGGGTAGCCTGCTTGGCCCGGGCCGCCCGAGTGTGGTTTTAAGTTCCCGAAAACGGAGCTTGGAGGTGGCGTCCTCCCCGTCGGACGCTCGTTGGCTAGAGGATCTCTTCTTCCTCCTCCTCCCCAGAAAAGCTCTCCTGGGGCCGGGGCATCGTGCCCTTCAGGTGGAAACACGAATCCTGGCCCGTTTGGTGGTGGAATTGGTGGTCTCGGTGTGGGTGCTGCGATTGGGTGCTCTGCTGGAGGTGGTGCATGGGCAGCTGGAGGTGGTGCATGGGCGGCTGGAGGTGGTGCATGGGCGGCTGGAGGTGGTGCATGGGC